GTTCCACCTTCAACCTTCAACCTGTTTTAGTTGATAGTTATTATTTGTTGCACATTACAACACCCTCACACACACTTTCCATGCATCCATCATCCTGACCTGACTGAAACCACTGATGCATATACCCCATACTTGTTCACCTTTACTTTGGCACCAGCCTTAATTTGGGTAATTTTGGTTTCAATAAACACATTCTGTTAAACTTCTACCATGGTGTGTCTCCTTTTATTGTGGCCTTTTGAGCCAGGTTATAACAATACTTTTACTTAACTTTTTCAATGCAGTACTTGCAGAGTATTGTTACTGTGAGGTATTGGTATTTTTTTTTTTTTTGCATCTGAATAGGCTTATGTTACTCACCACTGGCTAAAAAAGCCAAAGCTTGTGGTTGCAAAGAGGTTGGAGAGTTTTTGACTGCATCAGTAATTTAGCACGCATTTGGCTACACTCCCCAACACTGGAAACAACACATTTTTAATTTATAATCTGCTTAACGGCTCTGGCCTTTAGTAGGGTACAGAGAAAACTATGAACTCAGCACAAAATTATCGTCCATTAATTGAATATAGCGGGACAACATCAAGGAAGTCATGTGTCTCACGGTGAATGCGGGAGACTTGAGAGCCCTGCAAATACAGTAGGCCTAAACGGTAAATGTCATGTGTTGTGAATGATAAATCAAGTTTATCACATAAGTTGACAGTTTACATTACATTTATTCAGTAAGCTGACGCTTTTATCCTAATGGTGCTTCCAGACCAAAACTTTGTATGTAAACTCACCGCCCCAGACGCTCGCTTCGCTTTTGGTCTGAAAGCACAGTAAGTGCCTTGCTCATAAAAATGAAGAAACGTGGTTCTGTTTTAATCCTATAACAACTGTTTTAATTAAATCAATCAGTGATCATTTATCACTATATTATTCATTTGACTTCCATTTTTACCCCTTTATTTTTCAATTCACATGCATTTTCATCATTTAAGTATTATTACTTCCAACTCTCCTAGGGTTGGACCCACATGCAGAAAAATAGGTAAATAATTCCATAAATTACAGGTAAAAGCAGGCAAACCAGAAGGCAGGCAGGTTGACAGGGAACAAACTGGTTGCTTTAAATACATCCTGTCTAAACCTCCTTCACAAGTGAAACCTTCCGTCTGTTCTTCCCTGGAGGTAAAACGCATCACTCACAACAATAAAAGAACTTTTATGTCAAGTATTTCTTGTTCAGTTACATTCAAGACCATTCATACAGTTTGCATACCTGAGCATTAAAACTCATGAAATACATTTTTAACTACGCAAAAGTTCCACCAAGATCAAACAACTGTATGCCCCCTCCCCATCTGATCCCTTCCCAACCCATGATGATTATAATAGTGGTAATAATACATTTGATTAAGTAATAAAAAAAATAGGTTAAAAAGTTCCAAATTACACCTTGCAACATCTATAAAGGATGTCTTGTTTGTTAAATCCATACAAAAACAGAAATATAATAATATGATTTTGTATTTGTTATGTTTATACATTTTATATTTTGTTTCTGTTTTTTGTGAAACTGTTCTGAACTTCAGAGCCACCGCAGTCAACTATCCCCACCCAGCGCACATTCTTCTGTAACATGCGGTATAAACGTGACAAAACCAGTTGAGGAAGAACAAAGCCAAGAGGATAAAAGTGGACATTTCATCAACCAGTCACACAATTGTCAACCAGGAGGCACAAAAAAGAGAGAGGTGTGAGAGAGAGAGCACAGTCCATCACACTGACGGAGGAATAAGACAAATCCTCTGAGACATCGGCATCAATTCATCTTTCTTAGGGTAAGACAACGACGCTTCCATCTTTTTCTGCATATCTTCAGTAGTCCTCTGCTTCTTTAAACACACTGCAAGACAGCCAAAGGAAAACTGGAAACCCCTTTGGAAAAAGCAGAGGCTTGAATTTGTAAAAAGAAGCCACTCAGAGGAGAGCTGTGATTGTGTACATCCTCAGTTGGCAGCAAATCCTGCAAGCACAAGCCAAACTAAGCCCCATGTCTTCAAAAAAAGACAAAAGTGCATCTGTCTTAAAAGGTGAACTCCACTAGTTTGATACATTAATAATAATGATGAAGTGTGGAGGTGGTATCTTGTCTTATGATCAGTTTAGGAGAAGTGATCTACTTAAATCACTGCAAGACACCTTGGCGTTCTACTAAGCATGTGGATGTTTTGCAGGCAGATGAATTAATAAAAAGATGCTAATAAGTTGCATTATGGTCAAGGGCGTCACTTTGTGTTGAAAAGTGGTGGGGACAAAAGGTCTGAGATCATGGGTGCGATGAAAGACTTTGGTCACAAGAACAAGATGAGAAGATATTTTACCGGTATTGTGAAGAAATATTCGATGCTGAAATATGTGAGTAGGGGTGGGGGTTCTGAGATTTTGAGCATTAAATTAATTTACTTTACTTAATTTACTGCATTCAGGAGACATTTCCTGCACCAATGTATGGTATAAATGTCTATTTATATGAAGAGAAACACAAGATTCAGGTGGCAGGTGACAATTCAAAATATAAAAATATAATGGAATGGAATATAATGCAGAAAAAAGCTTTTTTTACTTACTTGGACATGGCACATTTATTTCTCAAAGCACTTTAATTTGTTATTTAACATTTATTGTTGCGAGCAATTTTTCAGAACATATTTAACAAATTATGCTTTCAAAAAGTGATGGGGACAAAATCAGCCATTTCATAAAGTGACGGGGACATGTCCCCAGCGTCCCCAGTGTAAATGACACCTATAATTATTGTATATGTAGGATCCGCAAAGAAAAACGTAGAGGAGCTGTTAAATGCAGAGAATGCATGAGAAAATGTAATCTGCTCAATATGTGCACAACCGTAGACTGACAGAATGAATAAACAGGTTTACAGCCTTTATGAATAAGAAACATGAAGAAGTGACACAATGATTACAGCATAGCCAAATATTCGTGAGCACAAAGCAATAGGAGGATGTTTAATACTAAAGTCACAGCTCTTGCTATTAACACATTGCAAGATGAAGCCATTGAACTTGTTGATACTTATAAATACTTACCAAGAATGAGGACAGATGCAGGAAAGAGGAGTCTGTCTTACTATGGCCCTTCGTCCTGGAATAAACTTCCAGTTTAAGCTTAAGATTGGTGTGCCAATTTCCTTAGCTGCTTTTAAAAAAAGAATCAGACACTCTCACGGACATATGCACTTGTTTTTAATTAACAATAGGTAGATCTCTTTGTTTAATTTTATTTAAATTCATTGCATTTTTGTCTATGTAAATATCTTGTAAACGTATAAATTTGTATTGTATTGTAATTTATGTAATGTAGTGTTTTTCAACTCATAGTTGAAAAATTGTGTTTTACTTGTGCTACATAGGACTCCCTTGTAAAAGAGACTGTGTCTCAATGGGACTTTTCCTGTTTAAATAAAGGTTTATATATACAGTATATATGTGTTTTCTCTAACGGCTTCTTTCACAGCAGAAATGTTGAAATTTATAATAACAAAATGATAAAATAGTAAATGAATAATGGCTGAATTTCATTTAGGTACTTCAGTTTTGGAGTCCTGGTATTGTTCATGCTGACTCACTGTCATAGTCTTACTGGGACACTTGAATCAGCTCGTCAACTAATTGATGGATCGCACCTTATTATGTAGTGCCATCAAAAGGAAGACAAAAACTCTAGAGATACACTGTAGGCAAGTAGTATGTATCAATGTATGCTATTTGTCTGTATATAATATCTTTGTCTAAACTTGTATTTGTGGTTGTATGTTCGTTTCTTGCCTCACTGTCTAGACTCACTGACAACTGGGGTGGATCTTTATGTGTTTCAGCATATGTATTCAAAAAGGTCCATTCTGATGATTGTGATTTTGTCTCTTCCAGATCTCTGACTGGTCACCTCCAACATGCTTCGCTTGCTGCTCTACCTGACTACAGTCCTCCATTTAAGTACCTGTGGCTCCAATGAGCTTTGCCAGGGAGATGAGCAGTAAATATGTTTCCTTCGTATTTGACAGATAATTCTATGAAAAGAGTTAAGCAACTGATGTAAATTAAATCTTATCATCAAGGCCAAACAATGACAATTCCCATCAGCCGCATCGGTCCTTTGTGTTTATTGCTAATCTGTAAAAATTAGATAGTGAACATGGTAAACATTATGTCTGCTAGCACGGCTGTAGACTCTTAGTCTTGTTTCAGCAGTGCTTTCACTTTGTGTGTATCAAAGTAAAACCACCAGTCTTTAACAAATCTGTGCTTATGCTCACAATGTTATTTTGTTCTCATATCTGCCCCCCACCTCCATCCCACACCAGGTGCATCCTGTGCAGTGTAACCGGCCCCACTGTCATTGATATCCTCGGCGACGTTAACTCTGTCCAGGATCGGTGTGTGTACACTCTGATGAAAACCCCATCAATCCCAGGTTTCCAGGTTCTCGCGACATTCCAGGAACGACGGCGTAAAGACGTTAGTTTTTTGGACAGTGTGATCTTGTCTCTGGATGAACCAGGTGTTCATATTAATCTGGAACAAGGCGGGAGAGTTCAGGTAAGCTACCTAGTGTGCTACAGTTTACAGCTGTAAAAAGTCAGTAGAGGATCGTCTTTACCACACCCCTACAGTTGAATCCACATATCATGCCTATTCCACTGGAATTCATAGATTTTGCTTAAAATAAAATTGGTCTAAATAAGCACACACTTTCCTGAAGAGAAGTCTAACTAGCCAAGCCTTTTTGTAGTCTTATAAAAAACAAAAAGTTGGAGTCATGGAGAATGACAAACCTATTTCAGACAATAATTCCTCAGAACTTAAAGCTTGTAGCTCTAATGCTTTTACTGTGTATGGCAGTAGGAGTAGCTGAACACACACACACACACACACACACACATATATATATATATATATAGACTTTTTCCCTCTGCTGTGATGCAGCTGGACAACATAATGATGAAGGTCAACGCCACAGCTCAGCTGGTTCACGGTGTGGAGCTCTCTAAGGACCTGACTGGAGTGACAGCCAAGATGTCACACTTGAACTACATGATGACTGTCTTCTTTGATGGCTACACTGCACAGATAGACATTAAAGGTACAAGTCACTCAATGGATAAATATGGGAAGAGACTGCAGTGTTGGATAGATGTTGGAGTACTCAGAGACAAAACAAAATAGAGTATTCTGTTCTTGTATTTAACAAACCAGTTTTGTCTTAACAAAAGAAAAGTCTGACAATTGCCTGTGATGAGTGTGAAAAAGTTTTTCCACAAATTTGTACACCTCTGTAGGCTACATTTTACGTGTCTGTGAAAGGACTGGCTGACTTTGAGATGACCTCATCAAAGGGTGAGGTCCACAACCTCTGAATCACTGGTCACATCTTTTTTGTCTATGGCTATTTCCCTAATTGGAGGAACAACTTGCCTTTGTCGGCGGTGCTAAGTTTGTGACGTTTATAAGGTGTCAGGTAGATGGGTCAGGACGTCTTAAAGCCCCTGAAACCTTAATGTTTTTATAACAATAAAGACTGATGACCAGATAAGAGCCATAAAACCTTCAGAAAATAAAATCATGATTTATTATCCAGTAAGAGTTTAACATTTTAAAACAGAATGAATAAGCTTAATTAGGACTGTGTGGGTGTGGCTTGATTAGATTTGATTGACAACTACTGTCACATTTTCAGCCATCGTGAAAGTTTGATAAAAGAGACATATCGTGTGGTTATTCCTGCATTTGTCTGCTCCAGAAGTGGCCTTTCTCTGCGCTTCTGTGTTTCGTCTGCAATAGACCTGTCACTTTTTCAAGAAAAATTTATTTTTAACGAATCCGATCTAACAGGTGAAAATCAATTCAAACCCACACAGCCTATCCTAAAATACATGGTATGATTAATGTAAGTGGCAGTCACATTTTACAAAGCCAGCAGAAGTCTTCTAACCACTGTTTTAATCATCTACAGTGTCAAATCCAAATTGCTTTCACACTTCTCAGATGATTACGTGTCATGATTATCTACTCAGCCTGGCTTGTTTTTCTAGTTTTCTCCATTTTGCACCAACTATAACCTAGTCCCTATGGCAAGAGGGCGCGACAGACAGAAAAATGTTGGAATCCTAAGTGCTGCCTGCGGCAATAATACACTGACAAAATGGTAGTTTTTGATGAAAAGTGACGGACCTAGTTCACAGCACAAGGACAATGGTGCCATTAGACACAGATTCATTGTTATATGCGGTGTGTGAACAGCCGCAGACAAGGTGGCTGCCAGTCTCAGTCACCCTTATTATTATTACCCTCATTTCTGACCATGTTGAATAAATGAATACTGTCCTTTAGTGTGCTGCTGTTTTATTGATCAGACTCACATTCTCTCCTAAAACTCACCAGGACCAAGTGGACAAGCTCCATCTGTGGACGGTTTATGTGGCAACTCCAGCTCTTTCAGGAAAGCGAGGCTCTCTGACAGCAGCACCATCGGGTGAGAACTCCATCACAACCTGAATGTCCCACTGACTTCTGCCTTGCTACTGCTGGTGATCCATTGTACAAATACTGTGGGGGTCCTCGTTGGGTGCTTTATGTGTGTGGTTATGGAGTAATAGGGAAATGGTCTTTATCCTCTGGTGTTTGTTGCCTCCTAAAGCTGTGAGACACACTACGAGGACACTACTGACAGAACGATCAACTGCAACACAACGACTAAACGGTGAGCAGAGCCACACATGAAACACTTCTTTCCATACAACTCATCACACATTAACTCACATAATACACCTTTTTATTTCAGAAACAGAGGTGACAGTTTGAGGTAATACTAATCTGTATGAGACACAGTTTCAGGTAACAACACGTAATCTGTGTTTAGACAGTGTGAAAAACAAATGCCAGGAAGTCCAGTCTGAGTAACATATCCATGAGTTTGAACCACAAAGAAGTAGACGTCACATAGCCCCAGCGTCACCGTCTTGGTATTTTGGAACCAGAAGTGACCATATTTGAATGAGAGGGTGGAGCTAGGGAGGGATATCCATTACTACACATGACAGGTCGCCATGTAACTACTTGTCAGTCACAATGTAGCCACGCCTTAAAGCATAGCCTGCTTTTCCATATATTTTACTCTAAACGGTACCACAATTTAGAAAATGAACATCATGCTTTTTTGAAGAAGACAAGAAACTGTGGTATATAAACAGGCAGCTTGTGTAGATGAGCCTCAGGTTTGCAGGTAATCACAGGTGTAAGTACAAGGTAGAGGAGAGCCAGATCCACCACACCCACTTACATATAGAAACAGCCACAGAGAAGACAGACGGGAACAACAAAAATGTCAAGGAGTGGGAGATCATACAGAAACACTAGGGAAAAGGAGAGTGATACTGCTGACTACAAAATCTATACAAAGACGGCAGGTTTAAGGCACTTCTGCATTGGCTTCATTTATCAGACCCTGAGGTTCCCACTTGGTTTGAAACAAGCTCCCAGTACAGGTCCTTGGTAGTGAGGACATTTTTGCACAGTGGGCATACTTCATACATAAATTAGAAATGAGTGAAGCAAATTTGAATTGAGAGAACTGAAAGTGAAAGAAGATTAAGAGTTTTTAGTGAGGCTCAAATACAGTTTAAGTTGCAACTGAATTCAATTTCATAACATTACATACAATTTCAAGTACATTGGAACTTCAAACTAATAAATTCAATTTCAAATTATGCTTATCAGATTCAGTTTTTAGTGCAATTATTCAAGATGAGCAGCTTAAATTCATGTCTAAATTATTCAAATTCAGATTCTACTGACAAAAATCAATAAATATCAGTCCATAGATTTATCAGACACAATGGCCAATACATTGAAAAATAAGTTTTTATCCTCCATCTCGTTAATCGACAGGTAAACCATGCAAACTGTAGATTTTCACTTTTTTAATTGGCCAACACAATCCATAACTAGATGATGTTGCCAGTGCATTGCCGAGTTCAACCTTTTTTCCAGATGACCCTGCAGTTTTTTGCTGGGGCCCAGAGGAGGATGTGTTTTTTCATGTTGGTCTGTATACACCTGATTTAAGGCAACATAACGCAATGGTGTTCAGAAAGTGCTTTTGACTGTAGCTGAACATTTCACATTTGTCTTTGTGTCCTTCTCTGCCTCCAGCTGCAATCTCCTGAAGGAGGGGCCCTTTACCGCCTGTCACAGCAACATCGATCCAGAGCCCTACGTAACTGCCTGCATCAACACTTTGTGCAAATATCCTACTGTAGACGGTCTCAACTGTCAGTTCCTGGAGGTCTATGCCAGAGCCTGCAGCCTGTACAACAACGACAAACTGGAGAGCTGGAGGTCAAATGCCAGCTGCTGTAAGAATGTCCATTAATGTTACAGAGTTGTGCAAAGAAGGGATGAGATGATTTATAGGCTTACACTCAAATTCTACAGCCATGCCAGCGCTCATTGAGAATGTACCTGGGCACAGCAGTGCTTTGAGCTAAATGCTAACATTACCATGCTAACCTGATAGCAGTAACAATGCATATTAGGAGGTATAAGCATGATGACATTTGCTAATAAGCACTTAACATAAACCAAACTGAGGTTGATGGGAATGTCATTGGTTTTGCATGACTTTAGTCATTAAAAAGTACTCTACACATTTACATTTGACTGGAAGGTGGCGTTGGATGAAAAGTTAAGTGATCACCCAAGTCAGTAGGATTCATCCACTAGGGACCATAAATGTCTGCAACAAATTTCATTACAATACATCCAATAGCTGTCGAGACATTTCAATAAAAACCACAAATAGAAAAGTAGAAAAATTCAGGGGATCACCAAACTCAGCATGATTCATTGTCTGACAACCAAAAATGTCTGAGACAATATCTAAAAAGATATTTCAGCCTGTGGAGTCTTCAATAGTGGACCACCATTGCCATCCATAGAGCAATGCTGCTAGCATGGCTGAAAACTTTATACATACCAAAATTCTACCTGTGTTGGTAAAAAGATATTCATCTTGATCAAGTAATGACAGTTTTGACTAATTAAGTGCACAAATTACAAACTCTATTTCCAGAAAAGCTGGGATATTTTCCAAAATGCAATAAAAACAAAAATCTGTGAATATTTTCAATAGTATCAGTGTTAGATTTGCATGCCTGCAACACACAATAAAAGTTGGGACAGAGTTAAAATAAGATAATATCCAGAATATTCAAGTAACATCTGTTTGTAAGATAACATGATTGGATGTAAAAGTAACATCTGCCATCGTGGCTCATCCTTTTGTGAGAAAATTTTTAATCAAAGGGAAAAACTTTCAACGTAAAATGTCAGAGAATTTAGGTCTTTTTCAAAATCAACAGCAGCCTACATAAAATTCTGAGAAGATTCAGGGAATTTGGAGACATCTCAGTGCGTAAAGGTCAAGGTCGGAAACCAGTGCTCTGTGTTCTAGCCCTCAGCCCACTGCTTATTAACCGTCATGCTTCTATGACAGGTGTACTTAGGAAAAATATTGTCACTTAACACAGTCCGCATCTACATCCAGAAGTGCATACATCAATTATATGCAGAAACACTGCCGAGTTCTCTGGGCTCATCTTAGATGGGCTGAAAGACAGTGGAACCGTGTGCTGTGGTCAGATGACATTTCAGCTTGTTTTTTGGGGGAACAACGGATTTTGAGTTCTCTATGCCAAAGATGAAAACAACCATCCAGATTTAAATCAGTGAAAGGTGCAAAAGCCAGTATCTGTGATGGTATGGAGGTGCATCAGTGCTTATAATATCTTCACTTCCCAAACGAGTTGAAAGAATTATTAAAAGGAAAGGTGATGTAACACAATGGAAATTAGTTAAATAAAGGTTCATGGGAATTAACAACTCTCAGATTAATGTATTTTGGAAAATATCTCAACTTTTCTTGAAATGGAGTTTGTAAAAAACAAACACGAAGGATATTTATATTTAAATAACTTTAATTTCAGTTGGACTTCAAAAAGGAGGAGGAAGCTCTACTTTTATGTGTTTTGGTGGTTTTCCCTCAGCCTTTTACATCTCTCTGTCTTTCTGTTGCTCTCTGTAGCTGCAGACCCTCAAGCCTTCTGTCAGGACCGGTTCTGCAGTGCTCATGAGTTCTGCGGTGAGAACAGTAACAAGGGTGGAACCCGTTGCTACTGTCGGGCCATATTTGCCTCCACATACAGATCCTTAAACACTTTTGGTAAGACGGCTGTAACACAACAAATTCACAATATTTAGACCCTCTAATTTGTTCAATTGAACCATCTCTACTTAGCCTACAACTGAACTAAGTCAACCGTAATCATAAAATTGTGACATTTTACCTATTGCATCAAAAATACAGCGAGTGCCAGGTGTCCCTGGGGCCCTAAGCAAAATTCTGCTATGGGGCCCTCCTGCCTGAATCATGAGCCATGTAGACATTTTAGAATTGGTGTACAGTCACACCTGACACCGTAGTCCTCTCTCTAGAGTCCTCCCTCCTTTTAAACAGTGTGTCTCTTTAGTAAGCCTGAATGGAAACCTTGTCTAGCAAAATCCACAGCTCATTTTAATGTACCTCTACACAGTAACTCAGTCCTCATAAGGTCTGTTTTGACTGGGGACCAATCTGCAAACACACATCTTCAAACTGACTACCCCAGGTTTCCATTATTACATTGTCAAAAGTAAAATACTATTTATACTATGAGTTGACTGAATACGTATTAGATATTATTTACTGAGAGATGTTCTTCCATATCGCTAATCAACAGAGTTGTAACTAAACCTTGACTGAGAGACAGATAATAACTCTCTTGTTTAAAATCATGTACGCCTATAAGGAGTGTCATAAGGCCCCTATATTGTCTGGACTGGTCCCACTAAACTAATGTGCACATTCATGCGCGATGCGGTTATTTTTTCGGAGTTGCATAATAGTAATAATAATAATAGTAATAATTTTCAAGATTCAACAAGTTTATTGTTATAAGAACAGTGAAAAAAACCACAACGGCTTTAGACCATACAACGAAAACCTTACTTTGCATGTCTCCCTTAAAAAATAAATGAATATGTAATTATGTCGATATCTGAATATAACACTACAGTAATCACGGCTGCATGTCAGATCAAACGTATAAATAGTTGTATTTCATTCTAACATTGTTCAGGCACAAAGTCTGGCAAGCAAACCAGAGACCAAGAGATGCGCTGCCCAGCTGGGTTAGTAAGACAGACAGACTGGAGAGAGCAGGGTTCGAGTTACGTGGGAGCCAGTAGGAGCTCAGCTCCCATAAGGAGGGTCTGAGCTTCCATGGAAGCAGTAAAATCATGCATCTGTGGGGGTCTCTAATTAATTTATCAACAACCATTACTGGGAATCAGAAATGATGTATTTTTCATTGTAATTAGTACCTACTAGCATATTATTTACATTAAAAAGATATACAGACTGAAATTAACATAGCCTACTTTCCTATTGAACTACGCTGCACATTGCATGACTGACAGGATGGCTGCACTTCTCCACCATCAGCCACTATCGTGCGCACAGTTTAGACAGGTTTAGGCCGCGACCCTCGAATATGAACTCAGTTATAGGCCATTGTAGTACTCTGTATTGACTGCAGCTTATTTGTTTAATATTATTGGCTTTTTGAGGGGGGTTGCATCAACTGTTGCATGTACTGTATGTTTTACTTTCTGTCATGTGTCCTTGTGTTCAGGTGAAAATGTGGTCTGCAATAAGACCACTCGGTCAGTTACTCTGGTGGGTTGTCTCCTGGAGGACAAAGGCATCCTCTACTCAGACTTGCACCTCTATGACAAGACCTGCAGAGGTGAGATAGACAATGAGACCCACATGGTGACCTTAGGCTTCGACACCAAGACCAAATCCTGTGGGACGTTGATCAGGGTGGGTGTCTCTCTCCTCTGTAGTTTTTAATCATTCTAACATGCGACACCATGGGGTTCTTGAAATGTTGCTGGTCTGTGAGGCTCAATCTCAGTCAGCAACACTAAATGTTTAAAAAAAAGGGCAGATAAAACAAGTTGAAGCAGACGTTTTTTGCAGTATAAATATCTCGCTTCCTGTGACCTTGCAGATGGACAACAGCCAAATTATCTATAAGAATGGTGTCATACTGGAGACCACACATGAGGAATTGATGGACCTCACATGCCCCCTTGTTTTTCCAGAAATAAACATCAATTTCCCAACGGGCATCAAAATCAAAGGCGGTAACAGCAGGTGTGTGCTGGGTAGAGATTCAACAATATATCATGACACACTATATTGCAAAAAACAAAATGTGGTTGTATGCATTATAGAATGGATTTTCCCCCTAATTGAATTATACCTCCTCTCCCTGTGGGCCAGGTAGAATATATATTAAACCATCAACCCAAAATGACCTGAATCCTATTAGGAGACTCATGAATTAGTAAAACAAAGAACATTAAACAATTAAAAATATTGATACTCAGCTTAAGGTTTTGTTACACTCTGAGAAGAGGGAGGACCTAGTTCTAGAGGTATTTTTAGGAGTTTGTGAGTAGAAGACAGCTGATGTGTGTTTGTATATGTTCATTCTGCAGCGGTATAGTAACATATATTACATCTGGAGATCGTAACTACACTCTGACCATGAAGGCCTTCACCGACACTGGCCGTACACAAGCTGTGAATTCAAATACAGAGCTCCACCTGAACCAGAGGGTCTGGTTTGAGATGAAGGTGGGCATCTCGGATGATCAAAGGATTGCTTTGGTGACGGACTCCTGTTTCGCAACCAACGAACCATCAGCCAAATCGAGTCTGAGGTACAACCTCATCATCAACGGGTGAGAGATAGAGGTTTATTTATAGAGCCTTATAATCAAATTCATTGGTGCTGATAGCTGAGAGGCTTTTGGTAAGAAAGAAAGTTCTGGATTTCAGGCAGGATGCAACCAGTTAATGATCCCTGAAGGATACCACCAGCTTGATAACTTAACTCAGCACAAAGACTGGAAAAAGAGGGAAACAGCTGGCTTGTCTCTGTCCAAATGTAACATACTCCACCTGCCCAGCTGCTGAAAAGCAGCGGGCTGTTAAAAGACTTGTCAAGAGAGTCAGAGAACTTCCCAGATGCTAAATCTCAAAAGACAAATGGGGCAAAAAGCTGTCAATTTGTGCTGCCCCCCAAAGGGTGTGGGTGTGCACCACTTATGTGTTACGACATGTCATTACTTAAACACATTTGTCTGACAGAAGTGCATTAGATACTATATGGTAGTCAAAACTCTCAGTTAAAGGATATCATATTAATATTTAAAGCTTTTATCAAAGTGGTAGTTCTGAATTGGTGCCACTGGTGCTCATGAGGTGGGTTATTCTATTTACTTACTTACAAATGTTGGAAGATAAACCTAAATAGGTTCCATTGGGTATCTGAAAGGTTTCATGTGAGGGTTTGATGCTGATAGATGCTATAGAACCTGAAATGTCTGCAGGTGGTAATTTCTGAATTTCTGTTTCTAAACAGCTGTAGTAACCCTTCTGACAAATCCGTGATTATGGAGGGCAATGGACAGGGAACATCCAGCTACTTCTCCTTCAAAATGTTCAAGTTCAGTGGGAAAACTGGGGAAGTCTACCTGCACTGCAAACTGTATCTGTGTATCAAACAGAACAACTCCTGCGCCCCGGTATGTTCCCAAGAATTCTCACACAGACACAAACCATTCACCCTACAAGAGTCAAACCAGAACATCCTCTTTCAGATCTTTCAGGCTGGTGCTGTGCTTTCATAACAACATGATCAGTAAACTTCACCTGCCTTTGATATCCTTAATGGCTAGAAGTGTATTGGAGGGATGAACACCTTTCCTCTGCAAGATATTCCCTCATTTATTAATACAATCTTTATTTAATCAAGTAGTGTCTTTCAGATAAAGATGTATTTTGTTGAGAGAAATGAGTATAGCAGATAGACAGAAAACAAACACAGCCTACATAACAAAAGGACATATAGCATCAGAGACAGTCACAGACAACACAAAATTGGCACATCGATCCAAAATCTTTTATAGGTGTTAAACTGGGTTGAGAGCTGGTGACTCATTTTATTATCATTTTCAAACAATTCAGAGAGCCCACACACACGGAAGCATCTGCATTTGATATGTTTCTTTACTCTTTTATTCAGGTTTTCCCTTTAATTTGTCCCCCATCTAATAGCAGAACATACGAGTCCAAAACCACGGCCATTATTCTGCTGCTATAACAACCTTCTAAGAAATCTTTCCACCAGATGTTGGCTGCAGATGATTGATCCCATACAGCAACAAGAGCATTAGTGAGGTCGGACGTTGATCATCCCATCTACGCAGACCAAACTGCGAAAACCATTTCTTTATGGGCCAGGCTTTGTGCACGTAGCATTACTATTTCCCTCATTTGGAGCTCAGGGGCTGAAACCAGGGAAAAAATCAAACCCAGACCAGAGGATCACTAAAGTATGAGACTGGGATTGAGTAATCAAGATTGCCGTCCATAGAGCCACTTCACTAGTTTGGCTACACACCGGAAAAGGATCAGATTTAATGACAAACTGTTTCTTTTGGCTGTTTCTTCCCACAAATATATGTATCAGTGTTGGTTCTAAATGTGGACTGAGAAACCCCCAAAACTATCTCTTTCTCTCTTGTCAAATCTAGATCTGCAGCCCAAATGGTAGAAGACGCAGATCTGCAACGTTTGAACATGAAGATGAAAACCAAGCCATCGTCATCATGGCCTGGAGTAGTTAGGTAATAAACGTCTCTTCTGATAAGCAGAGCTGAAGGTGGCTGAAGATCACCAGTGAAGGTGACCATCCACTTCCATTGAAGACCTTTAAACAACTTGGAAACATGAAGTGCAGTTAAAATGTGCCACTTTTTGGGTTAATACTGTTGATGTGTGGTGAATTCTGACTTTTGAATTTCTACAAGTTTTCTTTTCCATTCTACAAGTTGTAAAGGGGATTTTCTTAGTAGTCTTCATTCAGGTAACAGGTGAGATACAGCTTATAGACAGTTCATGCGCGGTGTCACTATCAGACCCCAAAAAGTATGAATGCTCTCTGCAGTTTTCAGCAATCGCTCTTGGCTGGTTGATAGGGAGACGCTATAATTTTAGGCATCAGACTAGCAGATATCAAGTGTTCTCTGGGAATCTTATATTTACAGAACTCACTGTCTCCACAGATTGCAAAAACATGTGACCATTAGATTTCAGCTTGACGTAGGGAATGCATTGGAGTCTGAACATTAGCGGATTGATCTATTCAGACCAGTTAAAGATAAACTTGTAGTTAAAGCCCAGAGACAGTAAGGGGAATGCAGAGAAATATATATTTTGGACAAAAGAGGATTTTTCTCAGATTTGGTTTAGTACTTCGCTGTGTTCACACACTGTATGCTGTTACTATTGTTGTTTTTTATTTCTAAAGTTTGACTTGATTTGTGAAGGGTGCTATAATAAATAAACTTTATCAAACAACTCATCACACCTGTTTCAAGTTTATTTTCATAAAACAAGCAAGCCTACTTAGTAGCTTTTACCAAAACTTACAAAAGGGAAAACTGGCTAGGGGTTGAAATAATCAACCAGGAGTCAGTGGAATACTGGAAAACAATCAAGGAAGACATTCACATCTGATGCCAGAGACCTTCTTTAGACAGAGGTTATGATTTGCCCTCATATACGTCCACCTGTTAAGTTCAATACTTTACAACCTAAAACTTGGTAACAACAGAAGCAAACATTTAAATGTCTGGATTCAGGTCTTGACTTCCATCCAGTTTTCTTGGTTTGAGGGGCAGAGCTTGGTAGAGTTCCAGGACCTTGTTACAAGGGAAGGAGATGTGTCACATGGTCCAGGAAGAGGCACAAGCAGAGGTGGAGGTAGTACCTGCCAGCAGGGTGTGTGGGCCTAAACGGAGCAAGCTATTGACTGCATTATTACTTGTCAGAGATTGTTATATGTGATTCACACAAATAAACAGGATGAGGTTGCTGACTTGAGGTGGTCTAGTGATTGATTGTACACACAAATGAAGTTGTGGTATAACTAGTGCTCCACCTGCTGTATAGTTTTGAAGTTCCAGCATCAGCAAACAAACTTTCAGACTAAGCAGATTTATATATAACCCTGGTTTTCATAGTCCAGTATGGAAGACTTAAAATGCCAGCATATTAAAACTAATCAAATGAAGAAATATAGTGAAGTCCTATTTATTTATGCATTTACTGTTTCATAATTAAATAGAAAACATGCTAAAATAATTTTGCCTTTTGTCTGTCATAAATGAATTAATTGATTTTTCATACCACATTAAAATCCAATCACAGCACTGAAAACAAAGTGAGGAGGTGCATTTCAGTGTTGTCCTGCAGGGGGCAGCATAGACCTGACAAGTCCTGCAGAGAAGGCTCAAGGGAGCTTTTATATCCATTTTGTTTTTACATTAATAAAGAAATGCATATTAGAATGCGTGTTGTATTTCAATTTATTTCTTTGATGTATTTTTATTTAGGACACTTTGAATCTTCCTTAGTTTTAAGGTTTGCAATAGACACTGTTTACTCTCATGTGTCCTCAATCATTTTTAATCAAATGTACACTTGGTTGATACAGTTATCATTTCATCACAGCAGGCATCCTGTGTTTCATAGAGATGAGAAGGATCATTCTGCAGCTGCATTGAATGTTTAAGAGATTGATGCATCTGTAAGCGTAAATGTCCAGTAGATTGAAGAGTTGTTTTTCATACATGTAATCCAATGCTTTCTCTAGGAATTTATTTTGCAAATTGTTTTCATAAACATAAACCTGGACTTATCTTCCACCCCTAATGGGTAAAGTGCTGCAGAGAAAATTTTCTGATACAATTTAATGATCATTCAAGACATGAAGGCCATCACACTGGACCGGATTGCACTGAATAAAAAAAACTAATGATTTCAGCATAGAGCAGCCATTTAAAACGAACGCTCTGTTCGTGCTCTGAGTGCTAAACATGGATTGTTGTGATCAGTCATCAGATTCACAACAAAATCTGCTCCAATCGCAGCTCTGTTCGCCACATAGGTTAAGACTTTAGCACACAGTATGTCAGGTATCACAGGTGAGTGGGATTAATGTAAAATTTGAAGAAATTAGAACTGAGAGACAGTGAAATAAAGAAAATTCACTGAGCAGATCAGTCATTCTGTCAATCCAATTATGGCTGCTTCCACTTTTGCTTCTGTTGAGGTTTACAAAAAGTAGATCCTGGTGGCCTTGTGGTCTCTCTATCATACCCACTTTCAAAAGAATAATTCAACAATTTGGGAAATATGTTTATTCGCTTTGGGGCAAAGAGTTAGATGAGAATATTGATACCACTCTCATTTCTGTCCGTTAAATCTAAGGCTGCAGCCAAAAGCTGGTATGCTTAGTTTAGCAGAAAGATGCTAACAGTCTGCTTATCAGCACCTCTCAGACATGACATTTGTTTAATCTGTACAAAAATTTGTCATCAGAAGTGCTGGTAGATAAATTCTGACTGAGCTAGGCTAGCTGTTTCCCCCCCCGGTTTTCAGGCTTTATTCCAAGCTAAGCTAATGCGCTGTTGGCTTTAGCCACACACTCAATGGACAGACTGATCTCATTTTACACTCCTACAAAGCGAATAAGTGGGTTTCACAAAATGTAGAACTGTTCGTTTAAGCAATCAGATTAAATCCCTCTCATAATAAAACATTGTGGAAGCTAAAGACCAGTACATGTTTGAGATTGAAAGTTCATTACCTGCAAACTGACAAAACAAACTCACAAAAAGGTCCATTTAGTAGCTGTTCTGGAGCTTTCGACTGTCTCACACCATCTCCCCCAGAAGAGTTGCCCAGTTGTCGTTGAATATTCTCAACCATGAATGAGAAGTCTTTAACAAGCTCAGAAAAAATTTATTTGAATGTATAACTCCATGACAACTGGGCAAAACTCAATCTACTGAAGATGATCACGTGAAAGACGGAAGATCTACTTTAGGACAATTGGAAAGAGTCGGATCTGAATGACTCAACCCTCCCAAGACTTTTACAGGTTTAATCCCACTTTAACTTTCAGGACTCAATTTTGTTTTGCAGTCATACCACATAGCTTATTTTTATGTTAAAACCGGTAGTCGATTAATTGATTAGTCGTTTTAAGTCACTTTTTAAGCAAAACTGCCAAACATGCTCTGGTTTCATCATACCCAATGTGAGGATTTGCTGCTTTACTCAGATTTATGTCTTTGTAAACTGAATATTTTGGAGTTTTGAATTGTTGGTCAGACAAAACAAGATATATCAAGACATCACCTTGGGTTCTAAAAAACTGTGATGGACATTTTTCACTATTTTCTGTAAGTTTTAGACAAAAAGATATTATATAAAATAATAATTACTAACTTATTTAGCAACATTGCTCCGATCTGCCCAAACTGCCAATAACCACATAATAACATCCTGTGTGCTAAAGCGTAAATATTTTTGTCAGACAGAGCTTTATATTGTCATATATAATATTTTAAACAAAAAAACATTCAGATATCCACATCAGGCACAAGGATCCATATGGCACAATAAAATAAAAGAATGTCAGCACTGTGACGACAACAAACATTAAAATACAACAGATTTAAAACAGAAGCAAACACTTAAAAATAACAGGAATCATCACAACAAGGGTCTGAAATTAACCCTTAGCTTGTATTTAGACCTTTATCCAAAAGGTATTACTCATTTCCTTCTTTACAGGCTGCAAAAAACTTCAGGTAATTTCTAGTGAACTTGCTGCAGAGAGATCCATTTACTTGCCTACATTGATTATTTTATTTTATGTAAGTTACATTATACCAAACTTGTGAGCAAGGACTGTATTACAATCACTCCTTGATGCGTTTATAGATACTCAAAGATGTAATCTGATCAGTGAATCGGGATCAAGTCCAGTTTGGGTCATTTGTTGTATCTTGAAAAGTAGCTGTACAGTCGATTACAACTAGTACAGCGATTGTTTGATACAGTTCCCGCAAGTAACATTAAATTACAACATGAAGATTAAGCAACGTTGACAAAATCTAAAGGTTGACCATGATGGATTTTCTCTCTGTAGCAACTTTCAAGTCTCTGCATTTGTTTTTCAGAGAAATAACAAAAAACAACTGCTGCCAGGACTGAAGGAAATCTAAAAACATATTGAATATGATTTGAAGTTAATTAAAATGCAAAAGCATTAGTATGGATTTTGCATCTGGAATAATAAGTGCAAAGAAACAAAAGAATCAGAATCTTACATGTTAATGTTTTTTTTTAATCTTCTGCCACAGTAGCCAGTAGATTTTTTTATTTTGGATTAATTTCAGACCCTAAATACAATCCATGTTGCTCTGATCTGGGACAGTACGGATGTCTGACCAGTATCTCTTACAGGCTTTCACACCAAAAGTGCAAGTTTGACATCGCGTACAGCAAAGCCATTATTTCCAAGGGAGAGAAGCTGCATTAGCCATAGTGGCACGCCCTACACTTATTTTCTGCCACGGTTAGCAGCCAAAGTCCAACTAAACTGAACTTGAACAACACACGTCCTATGGTTTTGTCTTGTTGACGTGAGGCAGAAGTTACAGTATGACGGCGATAATTTCACTGCTGAAAAAGTAACATTTTGTGCATCTCTGAATTCCAGCAGTTTTGTAATCTTTCTCTGCAGTCCTTCAGGGACTTGAGTGAAACAGGATGAGGATACCACGTAAGACACTTTATATTGTCATTGTTTACATCCCATTAAGTCAAGCTTTAGTGATGTTTAAGTCACATGCTTCATGTACGTCATGATTTACTCATTAGATCTGTTTACATTGCACTTTATCGTTTTGTTTTTATCTATACAACAACTTTTCCACCTCAGCCAAGTGTAAACTTTTCCCAAGTTTTTATTTTTGCCGTTTCCACCAGATTTTTTATGAGCAAAAAACTGCTGGATGGAAACACACTTAGCATTGAGCACACTTGTAGCATCTTGGTTAGCTGCTTTGTAGGATTATGTGCTGCTCTTCAATTTGCGCTCTATCTTGTGCAAACTATTCGCTCTTGCATGTGTGGTCCGAAACAGCCATTATGTTGTTAGGAATGAATATACAACTGACCAATCAGGACGCCTCATGCTTACAGAGCTGAACAGAATAAAGTGGAGTCTGGACTGAAGGATTCAGATATTTGTTTATGAGAAGAACACAGCAGAGGTTTCATATCTCACTGCCAGAATCTCTAACCGATTAACTAATTGCACAAAATTAATCAAATGAATCTCCCCCTCTGGTTCAGACCAAACAATACCAACCGCAGGTGTGATCACACCATGACTGTGGTCAAGGTTTGTGTAGTTTCAGACACACTGCAACAAACATCCCTCTTATCAAGTCATTTTTGTCTGTAAAATAAATCTGCAAGTTCGGTAAGAATTTTTAACTTGTTTCAAAAAGGAAATCAACTTATACATTAATCTTTTGTCTATTTTTTTTTTTAAGGTCAAGTATTTTTATTTTTTTGTCTTGCTTCTAATGCAGCAACCTGCATTGTTTTTCTTGTTTCATGATGCAGATACATTTCTAGAAAATTCTAAAACTTAGAAGTTTTATTGTAGTAAAATATTTTGCACTTCAATGAGAAAAAGTATGTTTTTGGGACTCACAGACAGAAATGACTTGATGATGGAGACTGTTTGCAGTGTAGCTCTAATGATTTTCTGGAATTGTTCTTCGTCACTGACGTCCTGCAGTGAAACAGTCTCAGTAGAGCCTGGAGGCTACATATGTCAAAGAGGGAAAGCTTGACTTGGTGCCAGTTTCTCTGGTGCTCCGGGATCAGGACTAGTCCAGCGCCATGACCGTTTCAGAGTACTAATGTTAAGAGTTTTGGATCCAAACCTTCATCATCTAGTGGGATGAAGCGTCCACAGTGACTGCAAAAGTTCCTGCAGATTCCAAATCCACCACTTTTACAAGCCTGAAGAGCAGAAAAGAAGCCCGTTGGCTGCCGGCTGAAGCAGCAGATCAACCAGAAAAGCTCACCAGACTCAGACTGAGTTGACCAACTCTTAGCAGTCAGAGAACACAAACCTTCAGGTGCCTTGGATTATCCAGAGTTTTTTTATGGGCAGACTGAGGTGGCCATTCTTCCCAGTCCGTCCTGTACTCTCTGTAACCACAGCAATAGATTTAAAAAATGTAAAAGCAGACATGGCAATAAAAACTAAAATGGTACTTGGATTTTTTTTGTTAGTGATTTGTTTTCACATCTCAGGGAGAGACAACATGAACCAGTCCAGACCACAGTGCAGAACGAGCGGGCCGGTCTTGATGCCACAGTGACGGTTTCCTGGTCGAGGACAGGTTGTGGTGATGAGCGGGGTCAGATGATGGGTTTACTGCGGTCGGTGGTCTCAGCCTTTTTCAGTTTACCCTTACTGAAGGTCTGAATGGAGCTCAGCAAGGCGTTGCGACCTCCTCCCGCTCCGTCAGAGGAGGACAGAGGAGGAGGACAGGAGGAAGAGGACAGCGTAGGAGGAGGAGGTGGTGGTGGAGGGGGAGGAGCAGTCTGGGCTCCTGGATAAATCGGAGAAGAATGAAAGGAAGGAGTGTGAGAGAACAACAAGACCAGCTTCTAGTGACATTCAGTTTCCGCTGGGAGCTGGCTGCACAAAGACACGTTAAACTAGTCTACAGATTCACACCAGACATAGTTTTACTTTAAGTTACTTTCACTTCAGTGTTTGAACAGTCTTAAAGAAGACGGGAAAAAGTGTCAACCAATAGAGGCACTAAATATCACAGCAGCTCGTTGGCTGAAGTGTTGCTTTCAGTTATATCACTATCTATCTCTAACTATATATAACTATCTCTCTGTCAGTAGTCTTACTAGAGACTAGTACACTGATTAAAAAAACAAATTCTGTACTATTTTCTAATAAGGCATCCTTTATAAAAGGGTTTTAACTAATAGCTTAATTAATTAATAGTTAGATCATTTACTTTATAGATCAGTTACAAGCCATTAATAAGAACCACTTTTGGGAAGTCAGTGCAAAAGTTAACAAGTCATCTGCAGTTATAAATCTTATCATCTTATCTTATCAGTTATTACTAAATAGATTTTGGACCAAATGGTCTGTAACTCTTTTCAAGAAGGGAAGTGATGCACTGATCCATAGGAGTTTGGTTTTTTTGTAGCTAAAATGCAACATGTGATGCTGGAGGAGGATAACCTAAGGATCAGCAACCCAAACCTGTATTTGTTTACATTTTAAAAATTTATTAAAAGTATGCTGTTCTATCTATTAGCAGTTTTTTTTCCCTCTCTGGATTAACAAAGATAGTCAAGAAAACTTAAAAACAGGACGATTCTCAGGCAAGTTCTGCTGTCTTTTTTCTAGATTTCTAAGTGGCTATATTCACGCTTATACGTGATGATCTTTACCTCACGTCTCTCCTGCTCACCCCAGGAGGCACACTTCAAAGTTTGAAAAACTCTTGTGATTTAAGGCTTATAACTGTATTATAAAGCATTAGTGAAATGTTTATTAACCATTATAAAAGCTATTAGTTACAACCTATAAACCCTTTATTAAAGGCTGATGTAATAAAAAGTGGTCACATTAGTTTCATTAAAAATTGTTAATCGTGTGCTCTGTGAATTTTGGAGAGTAACAAGGTTTATCTTTGTGAAACCAGCTCCTGCATCCGTGTCCAGGCTGAACTCAATCCACCATCAGTTTTAACCTGTCAGTTTAGGTACTTAAAAGTTATTGTACTACTGTCAAATGTTGCACAGTACCAAGTAAAAGGACCAAGGTTGGATATCCAGCCCTATTTAAGAATTTTTAATATAGTTATAAAATTTCCATGGAGTTTCAAAAAGCTCACCCTCTAACTTCACCTCACCATCAGCTGCACGGCACATGTGGACTTTCTTTATCAGAAGCACAATGATCAACAGAGTGAACTGATGGGGAATTGAACCTGAACCTGGTAAATCTCTTTCAGTTGTGCCATTTTGCATCCCAACCTGAATGAAACCCAGTGATCATAGGCAGAGAAGCAAACCGAGCTCTAACATGGAGGTAAAGCAGAGGCCAAAAGCGGCAAATTGAGTCAACGGACTCCACCTTTTGTCTGACCACACAGTGAATTATCTTCAACGTAATGTAAGGACATCAGTCAGTCTAACAGATGGCAACCAAACCTGGAGGCGTTTTAAATTTAACAACTCCAGAACCACTAACGCCTGCAGTGGTGATGAATTATTTCCAGGATGGCAGTGGAACAAACTGATTTTCATTACATTTTGCAGCCACAGTGACCTTCAGTATTTCTCCACTCCACTTCTCCTCTGTGATCAGATGTGTAAGATCAAAGCCCAGCTGTGTCCACATTACACAAATAAAATGTGAAATCTGTGCTCAGATCCATGATCACATGCTGTTATACATGCCGATCATGACAAACTGTACTTTTGACAGTTTGTCGTATTAGCCAGCAGTAAAGAAATGCAGCATTAGCAACATTTATGTGTAGGAGTTCATTTGTAGGCAAATAACTAAGGTTATATATTTTGCAAGACTATAATGCCAATAAGCAATATGCATAGTAGGCTGTAAGAATACAAAAGCAACCCAGTCACATACCTAAACAAAATAAATGCATGTACAATTTGAAAGAGAAAATATGACTGACATTTCCAGTCCTATCCAAACACATAAAAAAATAAAAATAATTATGAATTTGCATGACTGCAGCTTGTTATTCCATGATTTCATAGTTAACAGTGGGGAAATTAACAACTGTGTGTACTATCTGACTATAAGAGCAATTAAAGTCTGATTTATTTCTGCTTAAACTGTTGGTTGTTACAGAATCAAATCATCTTTGTTTCAAAGCCGCAGTTTTCCTGCTGTCATAGCGAGGTTGTGAGGATCTGTCTTTCCTGTGGAAGTTTCTGCTTGTTTTCTATGTGCACCAGGTACAGTGTCTGATGATTCAGTTTTTTGTCGAAACAGACTGTGACACCCCGTCCCAAACACAAGCAGACAAAACAAACAAAAAACAGAGACAGAAACAGACATGCAACAACCGACTGACCAGGCAGCCAGACACAACAGAGAGATCACAATCTCCAATGAGAAGAGGGGGTCTGAATCGGGGAGGGGTTGGACTTTCTGTGAGGTTGGACATCATTGCAGATTGTGAGGTTTTTATAAAGATGTTCGTACACCCTGTTCCAAGCAAGCAGCGACTTGTTGATGAAGAGGAGAAGCTTTTTCACTTCATGCCTCTTTCCACTGACAGATTTCTACTTTCAGTCTGCTTACTTCCAAGAAGAATTTCATCTGATTAGCCATCTTCAAGCAGTCTAAAGCAATGTTGGGCATCTTCCATACTGGCAATTTAAGACTGAGATGGTTGAATGAGGAAGTAGAAGTGTCAACATTATGTAGTTTGTCTACGAGATTGCACTGACAAGTTTATTTTTTACACTGTCAAGTGTCCCATGCAGTACGTTTCTTGTAACAGACATGATACACAATTAGAAGTAGGAAACAACAACAACAAAAAAAATCTAAAGGTCTGTATAAGATTTACATTGTGTTATTGGCTGATATTGTTATCTGATTTTTTAAAATCACAAATTTGTGTCCAGTATCCAGTGGTCCACTGGTCAAGCTATAATGTGGATGTGTTGTGTGCATACTACTGACAGCAAAACCTCCTTACATTTTTATGCATCTGGAAATCACTAACTGAAAATGTACAGACCAGAAGAACACTGGGTTTTAGTTACAGAAAGCTCTCATTTTAACCTGTGCTTCTGTCTGCATTGGATCCGTATAGGCTAGTGATCTTTTCAAGTCTCGATCTAAGCCTAGAAAGATTTCCGTGGCCAGGAGCTTGCTGGGAAGCCAGGGTGCGCAACAGCTTTAAAAACCACCAGAGACCTTCGTTATTATCATCGACATTATAAATCTTTTACTTTACCCAACGACACGTTCAGAATGGAGCATGCTCTTTGGTGGAGACGGCACAAGAAGGAGAGAGAGAGGGAGATGACAGTTATCTGTTCAGTGGACCAATCACCATTTACACAGTATCACCAGGACAAAGAGGAGAGAAGAAGAGGGAGGGTAGGAAACTGATGCCACTTTTGTGTCAGCATGTTGAGAAAACTTAAAGGTCTTAAGTCTGGTGATGATTCTGTATTTATCTTAAATATCACATGAAAAGACCAAAACCAAAAAAGAATTAGCCGTACTATCAAGAACTGTCTGTGTATTCATCTGTGGTTTTGGTCTCACCATGGGATTTGTTGTCAATAAAAAAACTTTATTTCCAGACTTAAACTAAAAATATAAAATCACACATCAGTGTTTCCCATCCTGCATCCAGCTAGCTAGAGACACAACAAAGTGAATGAGACACACTACTATGGCAGAGACAGATACCTGTCTGAAAACCAGGTAATCACATGACGAGAGAAGAGGCGAAGAGACAGACAGAGACAGACAGGTCAAGTCAAAAAATTAGTCTTCATAATCACACATGCTCATTTCAGATTAAAACTGAGGGCAGAAATTCAGGGTTAATGATAAAGGATATGAGACACACCACAGCCATTGCAGGTGTTCACCACAAGGGGGTGCTACACCGCCTGTCCAGCACTTTCCCAAACAGAGGGACAGACACACGGGTGGGAGGACAGAGAAACAGAGGGGGGGACAGACAGACAGTTGAACAGACAGATCAAAGGACGGAGAGACAGACAAGCATACCTATGGTCGATGGGGGGGTGGGGGAGGAGGGGCACGTGGGAGGGGAACTGGCTCCAGAACCTGAAGACAGACAGAAAAATAGTCTCCATCAGTAACTATCTTAATAAAAAACACCACCACCATAACTGAATATGTAAAATAGCACCATGTAGAGTTTTTGACGACCAGCAGTTCTATGGAACAATGTTGTTAAGAGTGGGCCCCCATTTTCTCCTGATGCGATAGTTAGACAGTCTTTATCGTAACAGCGGGGACATTTGTTTTCACAATCTGCACGTGTTTATGTCCCCCTGTGCTGTCACAGCCAAGCATGCAAAGTCCTACTGATGGTTTCACACTGTTCCACTGATAGACAGTTGGTAATGTACCGAGAAATGTTGCAACGACTAGTAACTACTCCTAGATTTTTAGCAGACATGGATGTTAACAATGCAAGTGTTGTACTCTTTGCAAGTTTTATGAGGAAGGAAATACATTCACCACATTTACTAGGCCTTGGGGCAATGTTTTTAGACTAAATGTAAAGAGAAACTTTGTTTACAAAAAACCTTTAACCTATGTGACAGACAGCGGATAGCTAGTCTACAATTAGGCTTGAACACATTGTACAGATTAGGGGTGGGAGAAATAATCGATTCTTAGATGTATCACGATGCGGACGTGGACGATTATGAATCGATTAACAAATGTCTAATAATCGATTATAAAATGTTAATTAATAACCGTCTGTAGAGCGCACACAACAGCCTGTATTCCACACACCACCGCTGAATAAGCACCCTACAAAAATGTCACACAATCATTAATATCAGTGCGCAAGTAATGATTTTAACTCGCACACTGCGAGCATCGTAACACTCAGATAGACAGTTAGTGGAGAATTAGCAGTAAGTTTCAGTCTGGTAACTTAGTGAACGTGCAGCGTAGGCAAGAAAGGGCGTAGGTCACAGTGTTTCCGTTAATAAAAGTCTGTAGTTTCCTTGTGGAAAAGTGAAGTGTTAGCTAGTGTTGTAGTACTCGAGACCGGTCTTGGTCTTAAGACCCCGGTATTTTTGATGGTCTTGGTCTCGTCTTCACCGCATTTGTATTCGGTCTCGTCTCGGTCTCGGACTTTGGGGACTCGGGATTTTATTTCAAGACCATAACTTTGGTAATATCAATAAATTGCTTTTGCGTTGTCTGATTTGTTAACATCCTAATTGTGATTGGAAGTAAAACATATTGTTTCATATATAACCAATAAGGACTGTCACCCCTCCCTGCGATGATTACGTTGATTTCAGCTCTTAGTGTTTGTATGTGGGTGCTTTAATGGGAAAGTGGATCTTTCGGATCACTTTAAGAAGTACATATGATCTCGTTCCAGATTTTATTGCATGCCATGTAATTCAGGGAACTGGTCTTGGTCTTGACTTGGTCTCGGTTTGCGCTGACTTAACACTACTGTTAGCACTAGCTAACATCTCCCCTGTAACAAGGGCTTGCTCTCTGTCCCCCACACCAGACTTCGGACATCAGGGGACAGAGCCTTCCGCGTCAAAGCCCCCAACCTCTGGATCTCATCCCCACAGAGATCCCAAATGCTCCCTGTCTGGACACTTTCAAAAATCTACTTAAAACCCAACTCTTTACACCAAGGCATTAAATCCTGGATGACTTTTTGTTGTTCTGTCACTGTAACTATGTGTAAAGCGTCCGTGGGTCTGTAACGTTAGCTAAATTAGTAACAAAGTAATATTAATTATCAGCTGTATGTCATTAATAACTAACCTACTAGTCAAGGGTTGAAAACATCAGGTAGAAGCTTAGACTAAACTGGTGTACAGCTCTGTCCTGTATACTGTACATCCTGATAATTGTTTGTTAATTGGTTGTTAATGAAATGAGGGACCATGGGGCTGAGGTTAATAAAGTAAATTGGGGATGCAAACTGTACCTTTTAAGCTAATTAGGAGATGTTTCTTTTGGAATTTAATGCGCAAATTAATTGCTTAGTAATTATCCAGGGATCCTGTATAGAAAATGCATCAAGATGCATCGATAATCATTTTATAATCGAATCACAGCCCTCTGAATCGTAATCGAATCAAATCGTGAGATTCCCACTCCTAGTACAGATGGTAAACATACTAGCACAACAACAAGCTAACTAATACTGTATTTGTGTGGGTGACTTATTAACAGCAGTGACTTACCAGAGTTATTGTTGTTTCTGACAGAGACATCTTCTTCATTTTCATAAGCCGACTGTCTGGACTTCTGCAAAGACAAAATAACAGCACTGTTTTAGACTTTGCTGTAACGTTACTTCACTATAGATAACATTAATAATTTTTCTAACATTTCCTTCCAGTCAAGGTCAAAGACTTTCTGGTACAGTTACTTTTGAGCTGTAGTTGTTAAATGCTTTCAGAATAGTCTTAAAGCGAAATTGACAAGCGACCAGCCAAGATGTTTGTTTATGTTGACGTTCAGATGTCTTTGTATTGTTGTGTGTGGGAGACTGTCGCCTACCTTCCTCGCCATCATCTTCCTCCTCTTCTTTTCCTCCTCTGAGCCGTGATGAGACTGAGCTCTGGTCAGCCTCCTGTGCTGGTGGAGCTTCAATTAAACATTAATACACAACATTAATAAACTCTTTTCAAACAGCAAACGTCATATTTACAAGCTACAAGATGCATTACGCAACTTTTCAAAAACCTGCACTGAAAAGTGCTAACGTCACTCAAGAAAAAAGATGTGAGGTCCCCATAGAAAAGTCAGCTCAGACACACCTGCATAAGAAATAACTGAATGTGCGTCTTTCTCACAAAAACCACCTCATCATTTCCATTTTAGCTGATTTTGCACTTAAGTGGTGAATATTCCCAAATGACTGCGTTTTTGGGAGGCAGTTGCCTGCTTTGACAAGTTGGTAATCCAGCCTGGAGTTTGGGTTTGTCTGCTTCTAGAAACAGAAAATACTAATATGGTCAAGGGGTGGAAGAGGAAAGTGTAAAGGTTCCCATTCATTTCTATGTGGCGCATAATCAAAACTAATTCACATTCGAAATCTTGAAGCTCTTCAGACAGTTTGAGGAAAAGAGTGAGACGGAAATATTGCTTGTTTATATTCTTGTTTTATAAGTGCATGGTAACATAATACAAGCTGCAGAGAAGATGCTGTTTTGCTGCAGTGAGTGTAAAAGAACAGAGACCGAGATCAATTCAAGTAAAATGTTTGATAAAATAATCTACAACTTTGTGGACTGCTGCTGTTAGTCAGCTAGCAATGGTATCTCCTGTACTTAATGTTTGCAAAGACGCTTGCGTTTTTTCCTGTCCTGACTGCTTTTTGCCTGAAAACGCAAGTAAATTTCAACATCTGAAAACCGCCCTACCTGCCCCTTAGAGACAAAACCACCTTAAGATGACTGTGATAGGCTGAGACACCTTATTCAATCAAGCATTCCTGTCCCCACATACAGTATCTCATTAATGAATCTGAGATTTTTACCACAAAGACATTACAACATATGAAAGTAGCTGCTCAGGGTCAAATTGCATTTACTTTGAATTTCTAGAGAAAAGATTTGCAGTTTCACTGCTATCAGTTCCTGCAGTCAGCATCCAGAGGCCATAACACACATTATTTTAAGCATAGCTTAAAGTAATTCCATGTTGATGTTAGCACTGAGTTTGCAACATGAAAAGGTTGTGGGAAACTATGTTGCATGTTTTTTCCCCTCCACTATATCTAGCTAAAAGCAAGCCAGCAGCAAGAATTACGTCCACCTTAAAGAGAAGGTCACTGATTTGAAAAACTGTTGATGTACCCTTGAAGAAGGGACATGACTCCCAAATGTCTGCAGAGGAGCTGCTCAGTGGTATAAAAAAATATTTAAAGATGTAAAATGACAGTAGTGACGCACCACTCTTTGCTCCTCCAGCAGCCTCTTCTCCAGACTCTCCTTTGCCGTCTTCAGCGCCTCTTTTAGCCTGCTGGGAACCTGGAGCAGGGAAGGGAGATTCAGATATTTAAAATTTTGAGAGTAAATATTCTGAAGCAAACCCTCTACGTGCTTGGCCAAACTCTCAGTAGTGATATCAAACTGAGCCTCTCACTTTGATGTGGAGTTTTTCTGAGTGTTGGAGATAGACGTCACTGAACAGCCTGCAAAACACAAAAAGATGACGTTCTGGTTCCTGCACATGTCTTACTTTAAATTCCAGACATTGTGACAGTGACAACACTGTTCTGTCATTTACAACAACAACACAAAGACTGACAATATGGTGAACTCACGGTGTCTGCATGAGCTCCGACACTGTTGGCATCCCACTCTTACAGGCTTCTGTGGACAGAATGGACTGCAACACTGACACTGAACACACGCAAACAAAACAAAAATAAATCAACAGACACATTGGGACATTTCAGTAAACTTGATGTTTCAAGACCAGATGTCAGAAGACACATGACAGCATCTTTATGTGTACATATTAATCTGTGTTTGTATGTGTGTATAAATATACTGACCCACAGCGGTGTAGGGTATAGCAGGGTACTGATCGACAGGGACGCTGTCTGGCGGTCGGCCGTACGTCATCTCGTACAGTAAATATCCAAAGCAGAAGACGTCGATTCTGTCTGTGGACTGCAGATACACACTCATATGTGATACACTTTTAAAATAACAAAATATGTTGGTTCATTTACAGATCACAAGGCACACGTAGAATCTGAAGGAAGATGTTCACAGCAACACAAGCTAACCTTTCCAAAAATATTATTTTTCTACTTTTTTACTCTCAGCTTCAGAGACATCATTTTATTATCGCACTCATTACTCCGGCCAGTAAAAGCCTGTGCTAATTAAATACATTTTCATGTAATCTAATTATTTAAGAACACAGATCCAAGTATAAATAAAAAATAGATATTTTTTTTTTTTTAATTTTGAAAATTTTGATGGAAAGAATCAGTTTAAGTTTTCTAAAACAAAAATCCTCTATTATCTAATCTAACTCAGTGTTTACGTACGTTGATCTTCCTGAGGTGGGTGAAGGCGGGTCGCAGCACTGAGGGAACTCCCAGCATGCCGTTCTCTATGTCCATCAGTCGACACACACCATCATCAACAATTATGTTGGACGCATGCAAGTGACCGAAAAATACACCGCCATCATGGAGCAGCTTCAGGCCCTGAACACACAGACACACACACACACGCGGTGAAACACTTTGTGGTGTATGTGGTTTATTTCTTTGATTGTGTTTTTTATGTGTGTGTTTGTGTGTGTGTGTACATACTTCCAGGATCTGACGGCCGTAGAGTTTAATCTGCTGCAGTTCGAGGCCCTGACTCTTCTTCGGGTTACAATACTTCTTGAGGTAACTCTCTCTGGGCTTCACCTGGAGAGAGGGAGGAGAGAGAGTAAACAGTTTTCACTGGAACAACTTTCTACCAAAGAATTAGTTTAGATTTTTGGTTTATCCAGAGTTACAGAGACACTGTTCGGGAAAGTTGAAGTATTTCAATCCTGTAAAGCAGCACAAATTTAATTCCATTCACCTACATTGTAGTGAGTAGAGATATCTCAAAACCTGGACAACCTCAAATCTCTCAGATATCTTACAATCAAAACTATGAGATTGGAAAGATACGACTATATGGAAAAAAAACATTTACAGATTAGATTCAAGGTTGAATCTGATATGTGTGGACTTTGTAGTTTGTCATACTGGACTTCCCTTCAGGTCATAATAAACCCAGAAATCCTTCATGTTAGTGGACATACACCAAACAAACAAAATCTAAGTACACATCAAATAAATACTTCCCGAAGATGGTTTCTGTCATTTTAGGTAGTTCTAATCACACTATGTTCAAGTGTTAATTTTAAATAAAAAGTATTTTTTATGTTATGCTATAAAAAGTGGTTTCACATAATGATTGACAGCTGTCCCCTGCTTGCAACTGAGTCGACTCCCTTTTCAGCCATCCAACAAGCACTCAGGTCGAAGCGTACAGATGCCTTTACTCCACCCACCCACACCCACAAACTGTACCTTATAGATGTGATCTCTCAGAGAGCCTCTCTCACTGAACGGTCGGATGAGCAGAGCTGAAGACTCACTGGTGCTGGAGAATAACAGCGGATAGAGATATGGAGTCTGGAGAGGAAGAGGAGGAAGACTTACTTGCATAACATCGATTAATTACAATTACATGTATCTCTGCTAGGTGTGTGTCTGTTTTCTTAATATTTATCAATATTCAATATATTCAATATTTAAACTGAAATCAAAATAGTTGTAAGATTAATTCCACTGGAGTCAAAAGCTGAGATGGCCAATTAAACCAGTTAGCTTTGGCAGGAGTTGGGTTTTTATTTGCATCATGACTGGATTTGGCTACTGCCTCATTTAGTAATGGGGGATTACGACCTGAATGACCTGGCAAACGTTGCTTCATTTATTAATTCATTTATTACTAAAAAATTCAGTGAACTGAATGAATGAATGTCCTTTTAGCTTTAACTGCGTTCAGCTGTGTCTCACCACCTGGCTTTAAGCTTTCAGTTGACAGCTTTCTGTGGATTTAGCTGTCTAGACGACAGTTTGTGTGCAACAGTATTATGGTGAGTTCTACAGTCCAAAGATTACCGAACAAGAAATTCTATTTTTCTATGACATAATACTTTTTATATGTTAAAACAGAAGCTAAAACTTCAGTTGTTGGTCTTAACTTTTGACCAAATATGTAGTTACTGTGTTTTGGATTTGTAATGCAGTGCTAACCACGCACGCACGCACGCACGCTGTCTATACGTACAGAGAGGCTTGTAAGCAGCTTCATGGCTGACTGCAGGTCTTTGTCTGACAGGAACTTGTCAGGACCCAGGTCCACCTACAACACACCGACACACAGAATAGTTATTTGTTATTTTCGATTTTCTTCGGAAAAACATGAGTTGCCTAAATGTGATTTAAGTTGTAAACTTCTAGAAATATCGTTCAATAATCAGGTTTAATTCTTAAGTGCATTTCAAGGCTCTAAATGAATTCCTGTGTTCTGTTTCCAGTTCAGCAAACATCCACAGTAACAAAATGAGAAAAAAACAAAAACAAATCCCTTCAGTCAGCTAAAAAGGGTGAAATATTTTAGTCTATTTCTCTGTCCACATTTGTTGCTTCAGACTGGACACTACTTTCACATCAGTTAATTACATTTGATTGAATTTATAATAACCTAAATTGAATCTGCCCTTGACTGTGGCAAATCACTCTGTAAGGGTTTGTTCCTGGAAACTCTGCCAGAGAGAAAGAGGAAACATTGGCATGGACTTGTCTTTCTCCTTTACAAGTTTCTCTCTGCTAAGAGAGAGACACGAGTTCCTTCAGTTACAGGAGGTGAAATGTGATTTATATTTGCAAAATGCTTCATTTTCAAAGGTCCAGAGGAGAAGCTACGGCATCCGACATGCTCTGTTAGCTCTTGTCATGTGTACTGAGTTCTACTGTACTCACCCAACTGAGCAGATACTTCTCCTTGGGTTGCTCTTTGTTTTTAATTAAAAAATATTTCTTCCTGATCCTCCAACCTGAAAAACAAACATGTCATATGTCACTTCTTTTGTAACTATGCCAATAAAACACATTGTTCCTCTTGACAAATAAAAGTTCCATTCACGAGCAATGAAATGCACCGTTGCTAAATGAATACACTAAAAGATTTTGCTGCTACAGCCCTATGACCAGTAATTTAAGGTAGCTAATGTTAGCAAACTTAGCATGGCAGTTAAATGCTAAACAGTAACTAGTTGAAACAGTATTTTATCATTTACTATCACCTCATAATTTAGGCTGTTCACTTCAGCAAAAGTTACATAGCATCGCTTTAAAATTTACTGTGAAGCTTATTTCTTTGAAAATGAACAAACCAACTCGGACCATTGCATTGGCTTAATGATGATTAATGATGACAGCAGCTTGATGAAAGTTTGACAGAGTAAATGCAGGTTTTACAACAAGCTCATCTTAAATGGAGAGCTGAAAAAAGTGGTTGTCACTCACTGTGAGAGACATGCCTCTAATCATTTGATCATAAATCAATACTCAGTGTCAGCTGTCCTATATGAATATCTTTGGGTTTTGAACTGCTAGTTGCCAGGAAAATGTGATTAACATTGGATTGATCAAGAATATAACTGGCATAGTAAATTGATAATGTAAACAATTGTGAGTTGTAGCTTTAATAATGAGTATACATACACAACAAAGCCAATGTAAGCATTAGCACTGCATACAGTTCTCATGTTAACAAGTTAGCAATTTTCAGTCAGGTTGGTTCAGATCAAGAGTCTTACCGATGTCTCTGAGAGGCTCCAGGACCTCCCACTTTGGGTCCGACCTGAAGAACATGGACACCTGCTGCAGGGCGATCTCTGACACAGACAGACAGACAACACTTTAATAAAATCAAAAAGCAGGAAAATGTATTTTCTTTTTGGAGAAAAGTGAGAGTTAACAGTGCTTTCAAACGATGATGTCCATGTTGACTGGGCATTTCTATCCATGTGTTACCAAACACTACCGATTGCTGCTGTCCATCTGCCCATACCCCATCATGTAATAGTTTATTATAATATAATATATAATTTTATTACATTTTTCAGATACTACGCATATTAAACAAAGTTTTTATTAATCATGTATTTATGGGTCTACAAAACACGCTGAATCCAAGGCACAATATTCCCAACGTGGTCTCTTTAAATACTGCAGGTGCTTGAATCTCTAACTATGCATTAGTTAGAATTTTATAAACTCATCTTTTGAATGTAAATCTGCAAAGCAAATACCACCGTGCCGCGCAGTTAGTAAAAAATGTAGTATAAAATTACATCTGTAATGAAGTAGTAAAAAAATGTACTTAAGTACAGTACTTGATGTTACTTTACACCTCTGAATGAGAGAAACTGAAAATAATCTCTCAGTAAAGGAGGAAACACACCTGTGTAATTGGCAGAGTAGTTGTTGGGATCCAGGAACTTCTTGACAGTCAGGGAGCTGGAAAGCATGGGATGCTGGGTGATTGAATCCAGATAGGCCTGCAGTCCTCTCTGCCTCTCTGCTATAAACTCCCTGTCCATGTTTCCAATTAGCTTCTTGGGAGGAAGTGGGAGACTGATGCCACACACCTGAAGAGAGAACGTTTTGTGTTTGTTTTATTATTGTCATTAAATGTGTTTTCCTTTATGCACTACTGTCCTTTTCTGTACGTTTCAACAATGTATTTACAAAGAAAGTTCCAGAAACTGAAAAAACAACAGCAGGTTTCCGACAACTCTGCTGCGTGTCAGATATAGATAATGGTCTGACAGGAGGTCGGGGTCAGTGAGAGACCCCAAAAGGAAATGAGCAGGCAAAAACTCAGCAGAAAATCTGCTAACTTCCTGTTATCCAGGAATGATGTGACCTCACCATAGGATAAGTCACAACCAGAACAATCTGACATACACCCCAAACTCAGATCCACTCCACACTGGTACAACGCTATTGTAGGAGAAAAAGTGGTCAAGGAACCACATCGCTTCACTTCCCAAGACTGGATCAACCTCATCACACCACAGTGCCACCTGTGTGGTGTTAGTATAATTACCCTCGGATAGGAAGCGTGCCCCTGGCTGTGGGAGAGTGCATCCTTTCAGTGTAGATGGACCTACTGTACATTATCACGCTTCGATTTCTCCTAAGTAGATGAAAATTAGCAATGTGTGGATTATTTATTGTTTTAGTATTGTGGTTTTATCAATGAGGTTTTGCAAAGTAACACATCAAATAAATGCTTTTATTCTCCTGTAGCTGAACTTTGTATTATTTATTGGGTGACGCTTTACAAATACAGAACACAAAATTGTGAGTAGTTACTAAAGAGTGAGCGAGGAACGAATCAGGAACGACCTGATAATTAATTAATTGTTAATAAGTAGTTCCTGAATATCTCAGGATCAAGGACCTCATTGAGGATAATGTTGAGTTACTGGAGAACAGACTGAGCGACACTATATGAATCAATCACTACATACTGATTAGTTCATTAATATCTATACATTTATCATAGTGACCACTGTCTTCATGAGTAGTTCCTGATTAACTCTGAATCAGCCAATGAGGCATTAGTTACCGTTTTTGTGCTCCCCCGTGGTCAGTATGTAGATTCAAAGATATATCTGAACTAATCATTATGTAATGATAGCTTACTATACTGTCTCTGTTCTCTAGTAACTCTCCATTATCATTTATACGGTCCTCATTTGGACTATATTGTTACTTTGGCAGTTCCATTGATGAAAGATTTGCTAGAGATTCATAGGACGCTATACACTCACAGAACCAGCAGAGGCTGGTGGGAAATCGATGACACAACAGCAAAGCCCTGAGCATGTCATAACGAACGGCCACCGAGGTTTCCAAAACAGGAAGGAGATTGGCTAAGACGAAGCTGGTGGTGTGTGGAAGTGGGTTTTTGTGTGTGACTACAAGACTTATAAACTTACATTTTAAGTTGGAGCCAATTAAATTATACTTTGCTGCTTCCCATTTTTCAAAGCAGATCACTATAAATTTTAGTTATCTCTACCAGGTTCTGGAAAAAACTACGTATGAAAGCCATTGTGGTACTCTGAATATTCTTACTGCTGACCTTTATGGGAATGTCAGAGCACATGGACGCTAGTCATCTACAGGGCTGTGCCGCCAATTACTAATATCTCTTTTCTGTATGAAACATTGATAGCTTTAATGCTTGGTTGTGAAAAGTTTGTAGTTTCATCCTTCAACAGCAGAACAGCAGCTTGAATTCATGCCAGTCACTAAGGATCTCAAAGCACTGCTGAAGGACGACACACTTCTCTGCTTGTCCATCAGTGTGCATTAAAACCCTGAGCGCTGTGTGTGACTGAGAGGTGTGAAACTCACCATCAGACTGGCGTTGAGAACATCAAAGTCACTGTAACGCCGAATCACCTGCAACAAACACACACACACACGTTATTGAGAGAACAGCTGTGATTGGTCAGTTCATCTCCTGACACGTCCTTCAGTCAGTATTTCTGCCAAACAATCAAACTGATTGGCCCTGCCGAGTTCCACCTGAGGTTGTGATGAGTGTATTTACCTGCCAGCTATTCTCTGAAGACACGCCCCTCTGGACTCGGATGATGTACTCCTGAGAGATAAGAGAGAACATAAATATTATACATTCTTATGATTTAAAATAAATTAAATGTAGTGAAAAGGGTGGAGTGAGGTTTTAACAGCTGTCACACTCTGTGTTGTCAGACAGTCAGCTGTGAGCTTTTTGAGAATACAATCATTAGAAAAAGTTGTAATTTTAGAAAACTTATATCATAATTTAATTAGAAATAAAGTCATAGTTTTCCTGGGAAAACATGTGTAATATTATTGATATAAAGCTGTAATTTTACCCGCCAAAAAACGTCTTTACAGCGAAAGAAAATTAATATTAATGATAATAATTTTAGTATCAGTAATATAGTATTATAGTAATTATAAAAGTAATTTTCCAAACACTCACATTTTTCTGTTTTAATTAACAAACTGAAATCCCTTCACTAATGTTAAGGATCATTTAGATCATTAACACAAGAGTGGGGCAAAAAAAAAAAAGTTTGTTCTGAGGTTGGTGCCAGTACAAAAGCCACGTTGAGCCTAAATCAAAAGGGTTCACATTTCGGGTGTGTTCACTTTTCCTTTCATTTCCAAATAAGTGGTTTGGATAACACTGTTCAGTAGAGGATCTGTCTGATCATGTCACCATGTTCACGGATATCTGCGATGAAGCTGCTGAGTAACATGTTTTCATAACTGACAGGAACGATGGACATAATTATGAAAACAAGAACCATGGTGTAAACACAGACTTTTCCTTTAAACTGATCCTCTCAGAGACTAATTACTGCTGACAGACTCTGGTTTCTGCTGTAATCCTGCATTCATTCATGTGTGCTAAGCAGCTTCACAAACAGCCTGGACTCTGGATGTAAACAGCTGAGATCCTGACATCACTTCTTGTCTAGCGTCTGTATTGCAGCATTAAAAACAAACTAGTTTTTCCAGAGCAATAGAGTCTGTTACATAATATCCACCCTCTCTTCTGATGTCATCTTTCCAACTCTCTAGCTGTGATCTTTGCCATCTAAAAGCGTCCTCAATGTTCAGTTCTCTCCGCCTCTTTATATTGTCTTGTGTATCTTTTATTTATTGTCTTAATGGCTTACATAAAGACCTTTTTGTGGCAAGGTGCTATACAAATAAACTTGCCTTCTGACCATTCTCAACAGCCCTCCACATGACCTGACCCTGTGACAGCCTAAAACAGAAATATTAAACAATAGTAATAGGTACTGGATCGGTCTTCACTAGTAGTGACTTTATTAAGTAGTTCTGGTGATCTGCAATACGTACAGTTTCAGCAACAGCGTCATATAATTTAGTGTTTCTGCTTCATTCATTCAGTCATGGCAAGCTGCAGACATTAATCCCCAGCCTTGTGTTACATAAGATATAAATGATCTTAATGAGTCCCAAACAGTGAGCTTAACAGATTTAATGTTTGGGAAAATAACAGCACTGGCATAAGCAGAGTTGAATTATTGGAATTGAGATTAAAATAAAAAGATGAATCAGCGTATTCCTATTAAATCAACTATATTACATTTTCTTTTGAATTTGCTATCCATACCTAGACAAATTCAGATAGAGGGTGTCTAAGGTGTTGCACATATCGTAAAGCCCTTAGACAGAAATTTGTGATATTAAATTAAAATGACTTGACAAATGAAGTGGACCTCAAAAATATACTGTGGAACAAGGTTATTATCCAGTACTGGATTTTTTGTATTTTGTGTTATTAGAAACGTCACAACGAAAAGACCACATTAGTTCAATACAAGCAATAATGTTGCCGCAGCTGGTATCAACATTATCTTTAATTTATTTTCTAGAGAAACATGGAGAGACGACATTGCCCTCCTCCTACCATGTGTGGAGTCCATGGGAATTTCTTTTCTTCAAGTCAATTACTTGTAATAGGTGAGTAGCAGGAAATGACTAGTCCCTGAGACAAGAAGCAGTGTTATAGTGTATAAAGGCCTGTCCTTACATAACATTCATTATTTTGGAGTTGCTTACATATTGAGATATTCTGGAAAGTCATCTGACATACTTGGCATCATCAAATCTGCAATATTTTTTATTTGAATTACAGGAAAGTTGCTGTTTTGGTTTGTTTTCTGACTAATAAAGCAAAAAAACAGTTCAGTGTTGAAATGCTAACAAAATAGAGGCATGTAATGGTTTCATAGAAATACATAAACATATAAATCTAATAATTAACTTACATCCATCAGAACAAGTTTGTCATGTAAGGTTATGGTTAAGTTGTTGCAACAACACTAGCAATGGTGGGATGCCTGACATTAGCTTAGCATGCTAACTGGCTAGCTCAGCTGATCCCAACCGAACTGTCAACAAACCCACCACAGACGCGTCCATTATCGGACAAAGGGCAGGCGACCTGCTTTATTTTATTTGCCTACAACAACTGCTAGTCATTGGCAGTCACGTTGGTTAAATAAGTTTACTATACACGCGAGCTCAGAGTGCACATTTTAGTACAAAGCGATTTTTTTGTAACAAGATAAAAAAACATACGATTCGGCTGAAATAACATACAAAAAGTACTCACTTGTTTTACTGAAATATCAAGGTCTTAAAATAATGTTTGCAGAAAGCGGTCAACGGGGGCGCATAATAAAAAATAACATTACGCATTTTACGACAGGTATTTGGTGGAGCGGATGTATGCCGAATGACCACTATAAATTAAAGACTGCCCTACATCTTGTTGTATATAATCTTACTCGGTATTAAAATAAATCACTAAGACGCACAACTTTTAAATATAATTCGCTATCATGGCACAATTGACAGACTGTCCTAGGGGCTTTACGGGCATAGTTTCGACCCGTCAGTGTCAATGCCCAGCTCCAAATCCTTTTAGATCAGCAGTTTGGTGAGATTCAGGAAATTGCTTAATCAGTGACAGCGCTTCAATTCAGAGCCAGGGTCAGCTGTCTGCCATGGAGTCACTTTAACGCGTTGCATCATGTTAGAAAGAGACCGATTGACTGGGACGAAAGTTGTGTTTTTTTTTAAACAAACTACTCAATTTACAAGAAAGGGGACTAAATGAAGCGTCTACATCTGTGTCCGATAATGGAACTCTTGACGCAGCAATGGACTTAAACGCCCCCTTTAACCTTAAATCAACTTGTTTTTTTTTACAAACACCAGCACCCGAGGAGTCTGTCTGCCCGCAGTGCACCCGCAGATGGTGATTTAACAGTTATTTTTTACGGTTAAGTGAGGTTTATGTCCAGTAAACACTCACCGTGTGGGACTGCAGGTTCTGGCTGGCTTCAATCACCGCAGTCAGGGGGACGGTGTCGTCCAGCAGCAGCTTGCCGGGGGACGGCTTCTCCAGGAAAGACATCCCGGAGGATTGACGGTGAAAGTCCGGTGTGAGCGCTCGTCTGTCACCGACTGAAGCCGCGGGAGGAAACACGCTGGGGAGAAAACCCGCTGAGCGGAGGAGGAACACAAACAACCCGAGAGGAGCGGACTAGCTGTTAGCTTACCGTAACTAGGAAGCGCTGTTCCGATCAGACGTCATCAGGCTGCTTCGTCGTCACGATTGGACATTAGGAAAACCACGTGAGGGCACGTCACCGCCACCTGCTGGTCTGGATGTGGAATTAAAAACTAAAACTATTGGCCCCATAGATTCTATGAGGGAAAAAACATATAAACGAGGTCAAGAAAATCCTTCAAGTTAAAAAAAATATTTATATATATAAAACAACTAAAAGTAAATACTGTGCACCACTCTGCAAGATCAATTTCCTCCTGGTCTCATCATTGTTTGAAATCCAGCTGGTGGTGTCGTCCGGAAACTTCACTGGAGTTCTTTCCGTGTCGGGGAATGCAGTTGTTTAAAAGAGATTAAAATTGCTGTTTCTAAGGTCAAGAACAATCTTTCAAGTTCAAACAGAAATAAATATTAAAAATAAAATAAATATTCATAATGTTGTGCTCACTCTTCTCGAGCTTAACACTGGAATTCTGACTTTTCCCCCCACTACAGGTGCTGTCTTGATGAGGACTTCAGGGTCTGAGAGCATCCAGGTCAACCAAAAAACAGTTGAACTATTGTTCAAAGTCGCAAGAGTTGAATACTTGAATGTGTTAAGACTAGGGGCCACTAAACATGTGCCAACTAAAATCGTGTAGTGTGAACTGGACACCACAGCAAGGTGGCAGGGGTAAACACAGAGGCAATGAAAGTGAACTGAACTGAGAAACACAGCTGAACTGTGACAGCATGTGAATGGATTTGATAAATTCAAAGATAACCGGGAAAAAAAATTCATTGTTGTGCGTTTTTATTCCACTCACAGCATTTCACACATTAAACAAAATACAGAGCAGATCTGACAAATTAAACACGCTAAACAAAATAAACATGAAGTGACTTGACACGTCTATCTGGTACCTGCTCTGTCCAGACGCACTTGATGTTTCCAGGCAATAATCTATAAACAACAAATCAAATAAAAATAACAGTTTCAACCAAATTATCTCAGGAGCTGCACAGCTGCACTGTGAGTGCTGCAGCAGCCATCTTTAATCACTGTAACTGTCCTCTCACTCCTTCTGCTGCTGCTCCTCGGGCATCATCACCATCACCTCCCCCTCCATCACCACCTTATCCTTGACCGTGCATGTCACAGCGATGAAGGCGAATGACATCTTGATCTTGCGGATCTCGGCTTCAGCCAGCACCTCCTCACCGATGTAAAGTGGCGCTGGGAAGCGGATCTCTTGGTACAAGAAGACGCAGCCACGGCCAGGCATCCTGGTACCGAGCACGGCCGAGATCAGGCCGTTGATCAGTACGCCGTGGACGATGGGCATCTCGAAGGCCGTGGTTCTGGCGTAGGCCGGGTCCAGGTGGAGTGGGTTGTTGTCGCCTGTCAGCTCGGCGAACAGCTCCACATCGCGAGAGGAGAATGCTTTGGTGAGGGAAGCTCGCTGGCCGACGTGGAGCAACCGGCAGGGGGATGGAGCTGCTGTGATGGAAGAGAGGCACAGCCGCGGTTTATTAAAGATACTGCTCCACAAGAAAGTCATCGCGATGAAAATAATGCTCCTCCTCCTTCAGTCCAGCTGCAGCTCTCGACTGTTTCCGGTCAGCGCAAGCAGGAACGGAGAAACCTGAAGTTGGCACAAGAGAAAGACAGTATTTATGGTCACAGAGAGAGATTTGTTTTCACAATTTGTTCAACATATTCAACACAGAAACATACAGATAAACACAATACATGACATATAAACTCATGACCCTGCATGTATCCCAGTAGTCTGCTGACCTGCAGCACTCTGAAGGCACAGGCCTGGTTCTTGTAGGAGCCCAGCAGAGTCAGGGAGCTCCACAGCTTCACCAAACCCCTGAAAACACACACACACACACACACACACACACACACACACACACACACACACACACTTAAAAAAACATCTAGTTTAGGAGTGAAAATATCTTCCCATCCTGCTGCTGATGACCTCACCTGCTGTAAACACGCAGAAGAAAAGTAAGGGTGTCTTCATCGTACTTCAACAGGTCAAAGGACAATGCTGCTCCCACCTGAAGCATATATATACAAATGTACGTTTCAAGTACTTTAGGAGACATCCTGCTAACAGACAGACTAAAACACATAACAGAAAAACTAGGCCAATAACTAATAATTATTTTCATCGTTGAATAAATTATCAGTCCATTGGAATCGAACCGCCGACCCCAACCGTGTTAATAATCTCACCTCTCCATACAGACTCTTCAGACCTGTGATGATAAAAAGCTTCAGTTCAACTGCACTCAGTCTGGTTGACGCATCCTCCAGCACACTAAACACACACAAGGAAATTTCATGTGGAATGAATGACACACATATTATGGATAAATATAGATTAACTTGATTTTTTTTGAAGACAGAAGAACCATAATATCAATATAGAAACATTTTAATAAGATGTTTTAGAGACAACTAAAAAAACAAACACAATAAATGATCTACTAAATAAACATGGTATTTTACAATAAAGACATCACAGTGACTTACAGGCAGACCTTCATGTAGTGGTACGGCGAGGAGTTCTTCAACACGACCCGTTGGTAAACTGCAGGTTCGTCCTTCTTGTCGACGCGTCTCATTCTATCAATGCATTGGTGACTCAGACTCCAACAGGTGACGAGCAGGAGGTCGATCAGCTGACTTCAGACTGAAAAACAAAAACCACTGAAGGTTAAACGGACATCAAGTCAACTCAACGTGATTTTAAAGTCTGTTGTTGGGTCTGTTATTTGTACACACATCCATCAATCCTACAGCAGGATTGTGTTTGTTACAGTACAGACAAACGTGATGGTCTCTTGTTATACGTGACAATAAGCAAAACCCTTCAAAAGATTAAACATTCAGAACAAAATTCAGTGTTTCCACTATTAGTATCATTTTAAGACGTCATTTTGGCTCTGGGAAATTGTGCTTGAAATCTTTCTGAATTTCCTGAGATTTATAGATAGATTAAATAAGTTACTGGTTATTAACCAAAGGATAGATAATGACAATAACCATTAATTGCAGCCAACTTTTTTTGGTATTACTTTGTACAGAACAAATAACAAACCCACCCAAAGACACACCAACAAAATAGAGAGGGGGGTCAATTCAGAGTTGCTAAAACCTAAAAGCAAAGCAACGATTCCAAGTAACGTGGTAAAATTTAGAAAAAGTACAAACTAGCTGTCAATGCAAACACTATGTACGTTATGTACATAACTTGCTGTTGAACATCTGAACAGTTGTGTTTTTCATTTGTCAGACTGCTTTTCCTCGTTGAAGTGTCACACATTGGTTTCATGGCTGCACACGCTGAAGCTAACAACACTAGCTAACAGAAGGTCAAACATTTAGCTAAGTTAGGTGTTATGGTTAATTTAGGATACGCTAACTTACCTCGTAGCTTCTGAAATGACAGCTAAACACCGCTAACAGTCAACGAACTGCTGTTTGTTATTGTTAAATATTCAAACCTATTCAAAATCACCTACAGCTCCTGCATTTTACTCACCAACCACATCAACTTGGAAACATGACGGCGTGTTGTGAACATAGACGTGCGCATGCGCAGACAGCATTCACAGCTACACGTCATGTAGTTTTAAATGTTAAAGATTTAGAAATAAGCTGCTGTTTTCCAAAAGACAATAAAATTTTTCTTTTTGAAAACACTTCAACATTTGAGTCTCTTTTCAAAGCCAATTTCCAGCAGGAAAAGTAAAAATAATGATGAAATCCTAGGAATGATAAAAATACTTATGATAAGTCAAAATAATACAATACATAGTCATAATTGTTTGATAAAAAGTCAAAATGTTGATTCTTCATCGCTTAATTTTGACGTACCACGAGATTTACTTCACTTTTGTCACACCTAATATTTCATAACTGGACTTTCATACTCTTCTAACCTGTCAGAAGGAATGTGTTTTGTTGGGTGTTAAGTAATTTAGAGTTTTAACCTGTTTCTCTTAAACCAAACAAAATGGATGTTGATATTTAACTCAAAGCAGCGCTGTGCCCAAGTACAGCCTCACAGAGCCGCTAGCATGGCTGCGGACTATTCTTGTTTATTCTTATTCTTATTCATTTGTTCGTTTTTGCATTTATTATTAAGTAATTTATTAAGAACTGTACTGTTCCATAAAATAACACAGTATTGAAGAACTAAAAAATAATATATTGTTTATTGGACCAAATTACACACTAAGATACAGTATTTAAGTCATTTTAAACCTTAAAAGATTAGATGTTTATATTTTGTGTGATATGATAAAGTCACTTTGCTAATATTTATAAATAACTTATAATTTCCACTTGCTTCTGTGGAGTGGTTCATTTCAAATAAATCATCCACTCTTTGATAAAGCTGTGAAGTTGTGTCTGTTGGAATTTTACTACATGCTGGAAAAACACAAAACATGTTACCAATCAGTCCATGAAACAAATTTTATTCTCCTTCAAAAGATTTATTTATGTAGTCCATAGTCTTCTTTGTACAGGTGCAGAAATTATTTATCTAATGTTTTTTGTAAAATAAATCTCATTTGCCTCTTTGTCATTCTGAATTTGAATATATTAAATATACAGTTGGTTCACAGCAGGAGACTTCAAACACAAACACCTGTCACTCACATGACACAAGAGGCTGAAATAAAGTTTGTCTGAAAGTGAAATGTGCAAAATCCCAACGTGGAATGTTTTCATCCAACCACAGCATCTAAAACAGAGACTACAGCCTCCTGCATGGTGTGTAAAAAATTCAGGAATATTTGCCATTTTGTCCCATTTTTGTGCGTTAATTTAATTTTCAGGTTTAAACTTTGTTGTAGAAAAGTCTTATCCCATTATACTGATATTCTTCATCACAACCTTCCTTCTCCTTGCTTTCTTCATCCATCGTGAGGTCAGGGGTTGACATGTGAATCAAAAGTTTTCTTCAGGAATGTTTTTTAGCGCTTTCACCGTTGACTTCCTGCGCAGACAGGAAGTCTGTGATGAGCTTGGCGGCCTTCCTGGGCCGCTCCAACGCCACAGAGTGACCACAGTTGTCCAACAGAGCCACCTGGCAGTTTGGCACCGCCGCCTGCAGCACCGCCGCCCCCGACACGTCCACCACCTGAGAGAGTAGACAGGTTTATTAGCAGCTTGTCATGTTTGGGGATATTGGTGACACCTATGGTGTTCAGCTGTGGATTATATTGATTTATTATTAGCTATGCTAGCAGCACGGCTGTATGGACAGTAATACTCAGTACACTTTGTCCATCACTTTGGTCCAGACTGAAATAACTCAACAAAACTTTTTAGAAACCTTCATGGTCCCCAGAGGATAAAAATACTGATGACTCTGGTGATTCCATGAGGTTCATGTTGGTGGTGGTAGTTTTGAGTGACGTGTCAACAACTATTGAAATTGAAACTAACAAATTTGGTTCAGAAATTCACTTTCCACTCAGAATAACTTGTTAAATTTAACTTGTTTAATTTTCCATCTCGTGCCATTATCAGGTCAAAATGTTAATAATTAATAATAATAATAATTAATTTGTCCAATTCTTTGATTTATTACCAAATAACTGCCAAACAAACGGCATACTTTGTGTTTAGTGATTATTAACAAATGTTGGCATGGTAACACACGAAGCTAAGATGGTGAACATTATATCTGCATGTTAGCATTTTAGCTCAAAGCACCGCTGTGCCCAAATACAGCTTCACAGAGTCGCTAGCATGGCTGAAGACTCTTATTCTTATTAATTATTAAATGTTGTTCAATTTGTATTACTATGAACATTTATTCAAGTACTGCACTTAAGTACAATTTGAGTATTTCCATTTTCTGCTACTACTAAGAGGCAAATATTGTACTCCACTTAATTTTTTTTTTTTGTTGTGTTATTTTAGTCTTTTCTGTATCTGTTATTTAGTCTGTCTAAGATTTTTTCTTTAGTTTTGGTTTCAGTGTAGCCGGTGTTAGTTAGTTTTTTCCACTGCCTGTGTGATGTTGATCTGCTCACTCTGTTTCCCTGTTGGTTATTTGCGATCTGTCTGCTTGTGTTCTGTGTTTTTGTGAGTTCCAGTTAGATTCTTGCCTTGTGTTTTGCAACCTGTTAGTGTCTGTCTGTTTTCCCCTGTTGTCTCTCTGCCTGCCTGTGTCTCGTTAGCCTCATCTCTGTCACCTGTGTTGCCTCCGCCCTGCTTGTTAACCCTGTGTATATATGTTTGCTGTTTCTGTTCAGTCTCTGGTCATTGCAGTGTGTTGTAGTTGCTGTTTGTCTTGCCTGCCTGTACTTCGTTTGTACTTTTGTCTAAGTAAATTATCTAAATCCTTCATCCATCACTGTCAATTTATAATATTTCTTGGTCACATGTTGAGTATTACCTGAAGAAAATTGTTGCTGTACTAGATCTCTTTCTAGGAAAATCTATTTGTGTGGTTGTGCCTTTTTCCTTTAACACATGTAGTTTTTAAAAGACAATCACTGTGTTTAGTTTGTACCTTGTCTTCCTTCCCCCAGATGACCTGCAAAGGTGATGTGATCCGATGCAGGTTTTCCTGCAGCAAGTGCCGAGACTTCTCCCCGACGATCTCCATGAACACTGAACCGCACACACGCACACAAATCAACAGAACATAATGCAATTATTGAAGACATAAACCACAGAAAAAGACATAATAGTAAATGCTCCGTATTTGTATAGCGCCTTTCTAGTTTTTTAGACCACTCAAAGCACTTTTACACACACATTCAATCACTGAGCTCAAACAGAAACTAACATTCACACATATTCATACACTGGTGGAACAGCACCAGGGGCAATCGGGGTTCAGTATTTTGCCCAAGAACACTTCGACATGCAGAGGAGGAGCCAGGGAGCCTGTGCCACAGTCACTCCACAGTTATAGTAGAGATATAAAAAAAAACGTTTTGACTTATATACCATAAATTTCAAAATAAAAGCTGATTATTAAAATAATAGAAGACCTAATGGAAATAATGACTGGATGGAATTATCAGTACTATAATGGTTGAAATTGTAAATTCAGTATAATGTACATTTCTACAGTATTAATTCAATCAGTACAACAGAGTTGTGTCGTACTCTCCACTCTGCTGCAATGAGTGTCTCTTATCTAACAGAAATATTGATTACATTTACTACTACTACTACTAAACTATACTACTACTCTAAATTTACTAATGAAATAAAATAACTTTGCATTTTGATCGCTGTTAAGATTCTGTCAATGACATTCATCACGATCATTCTTTATTTATATATCAACCAGCAGAGTTTTACATTAACTGGAGACAGGAGAGGGATTTTTTACTGATACCAGAGGGCAGGGAATTACAGTAGTCTAACTGACTAGTTGTGAAGGAATGAATAACAGTTTCCAGATTTGTGGCAGAAAGAAAAGGTCTTATCCTTGAAATGTTCCTGAGGGGATTGTCTAAACTGAGGTTTTGATTAAAAATAACACCAAGATTTCTGCAATGCCCAGTTATTGAATGGGACTGTGAACCAAGAATAGTATTTGCGTATTTAAAATATGTTGACCTATTTTTAAAATCTCTGTCTTCAGCATTTAGCTGCAGGAAAGTTTAAGAAAAATTTAAGAGAAGGAGAAAAACAACTGGAGTTGAGTGTTGCTGAAGTGATGTGAGCAGACTAACCTTCTTTGTAGAAGCCATTGTTGGGGATCCTGTTGTCAAGGAGACCGCGCAGGACCTGACAACACAACCCCCCCCCCCCCCCCCCCCCCGCCCCCCCCGCACACACACACACACACACATATTTCCATTGGTATTCCACAAACACTGAAACAGCGGCAACAGTACTAGCTATAGAATACCAGCATTATAACAGTAGTTGCCCTGATTTATTGATACTGTATATGGAGGAGGAGTATATGTGTGAAATCTTAAAAGTGTCTATTATGGATCTCAGACCAGGCAGGACAGCTCTGTACCTGCCGGGGGAGCTTGAGGGGGGTGTGGCAGCAGAGTTTCAGCATATCCTCCAGCTCCTGAGGAGTGCAGGGGATCAGAGGAATCGACTCCTCCATCCGACTATTCTCCTCCTTCTGATTTTTCTCCAACTCCCTCAGCCGAATGATGAACTCAGACTCTGTGGGATAAACCAGGCCTGGAGGAGGAGGAGCAGACTCAGGTTTGAATCCTGGAGGGAAACACTGAAACACCATGTAGATCAGACATCTGCTGAGTTTACCTGCAGGGCATATCAAGGTGGCGCTGGACAGGTGATCGGGGTAATGTGCAGCGTACACCCCTGCGACGTTCCCACCCATCGATGTCCCAACCAGATGGAACGGTCTTTTATCCAGACCGATACTCTGCACAAACTACACAAGCAAAGAGAGACAGACAGGTGTAATCTAATTTATCGTCTCCCAGGAGAACAGCAGTGTATCCATCCGCTCAGTGCCTCTGTGCAGTGTCTTCAACTGTAGCGTTGGTTGCCAGATCTGGTCGTAAGGAAATGTTTTGGTTGTAATCTCTGTACAGGCACGGGGGTAACAAACCTTCAGGAAGATGAAGACATTGCACCACAACAAGAAACACTTCCAGCATATAACCCCTTAAACCACAAACTTTGGGTTTTATATATCTGTTTGTGTACCAATTAAAAAAACAAGATACTACAGCTTTAGAGTTGCTGGTAGGTGTATTTTTTTTTACTTTTGACAGAACCAGGCTAGCTGTTTCCCCCTGCTTTCAGTCTTCATGCTAAGCTAGGTTAACCACGTCCTGAACCATTTTTCACACACAGACATGAGACTGAAATCCATCTAAACATCTCATTCTCAGGAAGAAACATAATACGTGTATTTCCCAGTAACTGAGGGGCGATGTCCACAGGGATAAGTCACTGAAATGTGGGGAAGCTTCCTCAGATTAATTAATGGTGGGCATCATTAGATGGCAATACAGAAAGCTGTAATGCATGTTGTGCGTGTTGTTTGTGTGGTTGTGAGAAGGATGCTGTGACCTATCTTGCTGTGCTTTCAGTTTTCTTTCTTGTTTTCTGTCTGTTACCTGTAGACCACCACATGAAAAGTATGTTTTGTAGTGTTATGGGGCAGGGTAAAAATTAAAAAACCTAAATGATAAACAAAGGTAGACGCACATCGCCAGAACAATTCATAAATGTGTTTTAATCTGAAACCTCTCGCAGGCGCAGACCAAAATGCCTCTGGATGCAATTGGACAGACCTACAACCGATCCGAGCAATTAAACGTGACGTAACGCTGAGCAACCGAAAAATGTCTACAGTGTGCGGAGATGAGGATGGGATGGTGTTGATATGCCTGTGAAGAGGAATTGCCATCAGAATCCAGAGGTCCAGTTCGTATAGTACTTACGCAGTAGTGGATTCAACAGAACGTTCCATATCAGCCATCTTGGTTGTCTACGTAAAAGCGCTCTTTTGTACAGCCATCCTCTCAAACCTGGTCATTATTAGATAAACAGTGGTGATTTACCCAACCAGGTCCAGGTCAACAGGAAATATGTCTGAACGGGAGAGGGGGCCAGACACATTTGCCAGAGCAAAGAAAACATGAGCTTTGTCTAGTTTGCCGGCAAGAAAAAAAGTGGACCTTGACCTCAGGTTACATTTTGATACCCCACCACACCACAGCGTGCTGTTATTCATGACATGCAAAGGCGACTGAGCGAGGAGTTCCAAAGACAGACTACATGATCAGAAATGTTAATAACTGTGGTGTTTGAGTTAAACTAGACAGGATAAGGTAAAAGATTTCTGACATGCCAGTTTTCCATCAGGCACTTATTATGTTAGTGTGCTGATGTCATGTAGTCTGATCCTGGCATTAAACATGTGGAGGGATTTCCATCTCCTGTAAATACAATAGGGTCCATCAATCTGTATTGCATTACAGCGTGTTGTATTAACACACACTCGCACAGACCTGGTGGATTCGGCCGACCTGGCCCTGAATGCTGTAGTCCTCGGCACCAGTGCGACTCGTGCCCTGGTGCCCCGGCATGTCCACACACACCACATGCTGGCTTCTGGGGAGATGCTGCACAAGAAACAAACACACCCAACTGAAATGAAAGATGATCCACACTACTTACTAATTCTGAGCAGGATTTTAGTATATAGAGTGTTCACACTGGAAAACTATTCTCCCACAATGCAATTCACAGAGGAAATGGAGCTCAGCTGGGAAAAATTCAAATAAAATGTTGATGCTAGTCAAACAGATCCAGGAACTATTAAGAAAACAAAAAATAAGTATTTGATCAAAACAGAGACATTTTGCTTTTTCTTAGCGAAGGTTAACTGGCAGAAACATCCCAAAGTTGCAGTTTGATTGCTTATTTGTGACAATTTGTATGTAGTACATGCTGTATAAATCTAGTAGGCCTATGCAGTGTGGATTTGCGACACCTTAGATAAATCCATTCTTCTCTCTGAGCTTCTTCCATCCCTCCTCCCTTTCTTCTGTCCATCATTCCTTAGATAATTTCTTCCATCCTTCATGCTTTCCTTTAATCCTTCTTTATTTCCCTCTATATTTTTACACTCACTTTCTTTTCCTCCTCCACTTGTTCCTTCCTAGCTCTCTTCTATTTCTGTTTTCTCCTCTTCACCCTTCCATCCAACCACCATTCTTCTTCTTAAAAAGGGTATTTGAGAAAGCCAGACACCATCATTCCTAACGGTGTGTGTGTGTGTGTGTGTGATACCTTGATGACAGGCAGCCACATGTCCTTGCTGGCGGAGAAGCCGTGCAGCAGCAGCAGTGATGGCGTGGTGCCTCCTGGCGTCCCCCGGCTGGCATAACAGAAGCGGTAACTTCCACTGTGAGAGTAGCGGACCACCAGCCCCAGCCTGAGACGCAAAAACCTGAGGACGATTATGAAAGGGTCACTAGAGCTATTTATGTGCATGTGTGCATTTTTATTATGTGCAATATTTTTTGCAATTGCATAATGTGTTTATTTAAATGTACAAAGTCTCGCTAGCATCCCATTGTATGCAGTGTTTATCACACCCCACAGTACATAAAAATAGATTTATAGTTGTGTGTTAAGATGTTACAGAGCCACGCACGTATGATGTGTTTCTCCTTAAATATGTAACTTCTGTCTGTCCTTCACATCAGGTGAACGTTAAACTTACGTATTGAACAGAAACATTATTGATAATTGATCTATTCATAGAGCCCCAACAGATGCTGCACTGTCAATGGTAAGTGTACCTGAACATGACTGTGCACACAGATATCTTTGACTTTCGGTTAAATTCTGCTTCACATAAAGTTCTTCACTGTAGCTGTTTGTAATTTCACATCTTAAAATGTAATGATTGTCCTGATGGTATAGAGGACGGGTGGTCATTAAAATCTAAGGGTTCATCTTATGGAGAGCAGGAATGTTAGTAGAAATTCTCAAAATCTGGTCAATAGATGTTGAAACGTTGTATGTCAATCTGGACCACAGCGTTAAATGGACTGATGGACCAAAGTTTCCATCTGTTTGGGCCAGAAAACATTCCCGTTTTTACTCACACTTTAGTGTTAATGCTAATGAGTGCTAAACATAGTACAGCTGATACTGATGAGAATGTAATTATTTTTGAACCAATTTCATGGCAATACATTGAATAGTTGCCGAGATATTTCACTGGAAGAACAAAATGTGGAACTCATGCTGGAGCTAAAGAAAAAGTCAGAGGATCACCAACTTCATTAAGATTCATCCTTTGAGCATAGGGACAGTCTGAACAATATGTTGTACCAATTTAGTAGACAGAAATATTTCACAGGATAACTTTAACCTGCTTGTGTCGCTGGAGGAAAAATAAGAGGATCAACAAAGTTGGTAGGAATTTGCCTCTGCCCAAAATCCCATACTAATTCATCCAACAGCTTTTGAGATGTTTGAGCATTGACCAAAGTAGTGGAACAAACAACCGAATGACAGACCGACCAACATTTCCTTTCATAGAGCCATATGGATGAAAAACAAAATAAAACATGTTTCTCTGAGTACAGATATTGGGCAACAGTATTCATACAGTAAGTCATATCTGAAAAACTGCAGTATCTACATCGGGTAGGCTACTCAGCCTGTTTAACCTTTCTTGTGAGAGTCTGTCCATGAGGACCACAAACCTCTTTTATACTTTTCTAAACATTTTCTGTATCATCTTAAGTTCTTTTTGTTACTCATTGTGTAAACAGCTTGCCTAATTTAAATTCTAGTCTAATTCATTTTAATGTTTCCATGTTTTGTAACTTGCTGCTGACAAAGACGCTATTACATGAAAGTGACTCAGCACTCTGTGTGTGTGAGAGAGAGCGAGAGAGAGTGGGTGAAACAGCAACAATAATCTACCAAGAGGACAACATGTATGGGTTTGTGTTCTATTTTTTTATTTTTTTTTTTACAGCTTAGACAGCTTTGCCTGTGCCAAAGCAATTTAAGGTTCCTTTTGGGAGTTAATAAAATATGAAATCCAATCTGTCGCCAAAGGGGAAATTACTAGCAAACTACAAAAAACAAACATGTCACCTTTGGAGCCTTAACACGTAAAAAACAGTACTTCATAATGCCTTATCAATATATATCAATGGATTATAATAAAAGTTAAATCCAGCTTTAGGAAAAAGTAACAAGTGACTGTTGCTTTACTGAAAAAAATCTACACATTTTTACAGTAGATTTATTAGTTAGTCTGGACTTAAGAACTGGTATTACCAGGATTTCTAAACTTCCAGTAAACTCTAAGGAACCAGTCTGTTGTTTTAATGTGAGTGTATTTGTGTTTTTACCAGTTGTAGGCCTTAAGGAGCGCTCCAGGCCAGAACAGGAAGGAGGTGATGAAAGCGAGGATGGGGACAACTAGAATACCTCCTGATAGCATTATCAGCTCCATCGCTGCACATTCCTTAAAAAACATAAACACACAAACAGACTTCGTCATTTGCTCTCAGCTCAGTTTCTAAATTGTGGATGCTGACCCAGTGCCGACTGACACCAGAGTACTGCAGTGCTAAGAGTCCAGTAAAGTCAGTAAGTTAGCTTTTCTGAGTCAGAGATCTTGCTGAACAGTGCAGTGTTTAAATTTAAAGGCAGGGTAGGCAAGATGCATCTGAAACACTTTTTGTCATATTTGTTGAAATTGTCTTTATACACCAATACATATTAAAAAGTTAGGTGCTCTGAGAGTATAAAACTGTCTGTAGTCCTCTCAGGGCTGCAGTAAACACAGCCACTCGTTTCATTCGGACCGAATGCAAGAGTAGAGACGAGGAATTATATCTAGCTGTAGGTGAGCTGGAAAAGAGCAGCGCAAGCTGTTTTCCAACGCTAATATTAGGTAAGACAATGTAGGTGTAGACTGCGCCGGTTTAGTTATTCACCATCTAGGTTTATTATACTATGTTTACACCTATCTTTACACCTTGTATCTAATCTGTTGTGTGATTATCTTGTGTCTGCAGGCGTTGTTTGACTGTATGTTACTCTTTTACAAATGATGTATCTGTGTGTTTGTAGTTAGGAGAGACATTTCAACGTTAGTGGTCATAAACAGTGATGGCTAAAGGTCCCCAAGTATCTGTGTTTCTGGTATATAAGCCATCTATAATATAGTTTTGAGATTGTTCGTAGCTAAACCTACTGTGTGAAAACATTTTACTGTAATTGGTGCTGTTATGCCATTATTTATTTTACCAGAAGTAAAAAATCCTGTATGTTTTATTTCTACTGCACCCTCAGGTCACCTGCAGTCTTCCAACACCCTGTGCTTCTCACCAGCACACTGCCATCTCACCATGCTGGCTGGCCTGGATTACAACCACCATGTCCACAGACCAGCCAGGAGAAAAGCTGATGACACAATTCAGTATGTTGCGTTATGAGTACTCTTGTGCATTTTACTCAATACATTTATAGGTGATGAGTCAAAAAATATTAAACAGTATGAGGAATACAGATAGATGGTGCTAATTTATTGTTACTTATTGCATTTTATGTGGAAATAGTTTACTAATTACTCTATAAGAGAACAATGTGAGGTGTTAGAAACTTTTCACTAAGCTGATCCTCCTTTTTGTATTATCAGGTACAGCAAGGTGGAGCTTGTACTCATTGAAGGTGGAGAAGGATTACAGTTACATCGCAGACCTCCAGAGTGCCGTGGTCCTCCTCCTCCGGTTGTTTACTACTGAGGAAATGCCTAGAAGCAGAACCAGGAGACCTGATGATCCCTGTCAACATGGGGTTCAGTCAGGTGTCCCTGCCCTAGCTGTGTTGCTAGATGCATCAAAATATAAAACAAAAAGTAATATGGTTGGTTTTGAAATGTGGTAATCATGTCAGAGAGGTGACTGTGATATATTTAATCATCTCCACAGCAGCGATACGATGCTATGAGAAAAGTCTGAACTGTCTTCATAATCAGTCGATACATCTGGACACACCTTGTCTCTTCCTGTATTTACTTATTTTTATTGATGTTTTAAAAATGATCTATTTGTGATATAGGTTGTAGTTTTAGTAGTATATAATAACAAAAACAAGTGTTATATCACTCTTTGATGTCATTATTTCAGACATAAGACATAAATGTAGCTGCTTGATTGTTTATGCTGCAAGTGTAAAGAAAAGGCATTTATCATTTTCAATGTTTTATTTAAAAAAGAATGAAAATATTATCCAGAATAGGGAAAAATATCTTTGTATTTTCTCTACCCTCCTGGGCATAAAAAGAAAACAATGTACAGGTATTCATCCACACAGTGGAGGGAATTATTTGTGTAGCAGTTGGTGACATTACATCTTACACCCTGCTAGGATTAAATCTCTGTATTGTCCTGGTGGATCAGGATAACAGTTGCATATCTTCCAGAAACAGCAACTTTGTATCACGACTCTGTGACCAAGTGCTCCACATTGCCACACTACAAACTGTCTGTATGCTGTCTGACTGAACTATCTATTACTCTGTCCTTTGTCTGGAAGGTCAGCCTTGTGTGGTGCATGGAAACACTGTAGTCTGGATGTTGTCCTCAGATTCTGGCCTGTAAAGGAGTATGTAGTTGTTAGAACCCCAAATTGGAAAGATTGGTGTAATAGGAAAAAACATTCCTCAACCTGATCAGATATTTTTATTGAACAGTGGTTTGTTGTTCTCTAACAGGACTTCTATGTCCACATTACACACCAGGTCAACGTACATAACACAGATGAGCCGATGGCTGAAGCAGAGCTGTAGTTAGTTGTTGTAATCAGTAAACAATACTAAAAAAGTAATAACAATAGTGATGGTTTACATTTATAAAGCACTTTATTTTTGACAGTCAAAGGGCAGAGAAACTTTGAGACAAGTAAACTGGGAGATAATTGACTAATATTAAAATATATATGTATAGATATACCTGTTCATATGCTGTTGTTGGAGCGTGAAGCTCGATGCAGGTCCTAGAAGATGTGCTCCTTGGCTTTCACCTTGTCCTCCCCGTCCTTCCTCGTACCCCGGCAGCCCTCCCTCCTCTGCTTCAAAAGTGATCGTCTGCCGAAAACTGATTGCCGTCTGCTGGAGCTGTATTGCCCGCTCTCTTCAATCTCTTTCTGGCAAGTGAAATAGCCTACTGCATTTTTTGGGCTGTATTGGCCATTTAAAGGTATTTTAAGAGGTAAAAAAAAGTACTAGGTGAGCTATAATCTGTCAAAAATAACTCTTCTGAATGAAATCAACTAATTTCAGGGCAGAAATAACCTTTCAGTCAATAAGAAAAGGCTTCAATAATTTTCTGGCAAGTGAAATACTGCATTTTAAGAGTTGTATTGGCCATTTAAAGGTATTATAACAGGTAAAAAAGAGTGGATTAGTTGGTAGGCCTACACAGCAAGTAAAATAATGCAGTCATAAGGATAATTGCAAAATTGTCTTCATTTTATGTCTAAGTTGGCAGTAAGTCATGTTAATTAGGCTACAGCCCGTTTTCCAAATATAAACAAAAATATTACACATAGGCCTACCAAACATCAGTTTTCGGCAGACGATCACTTTTTGGCACGACACCTGTCTGTCACCGGGCCTGTCCCGGTCTGTGTTTGGCTCTGGGGTGCAGTCCTCATCAGAGACAATAATGCTGTCACCATGGAAGCTCCAACATGCAAAACAACGTACATGTTATGAGTCTAACACGAAATACTCGTTCGTGTATTGTAACTGATGGAAACGGGAAAATGTGTATCAGCCTGTTTTTAGCTTTGCCCAATGTTACCGCAGCTGTTAGCGCAGCTACCTGATGCTAACAGTTAGCTAGCCAACTCGTTACTGATTAAAACTCAGTCTTTTAAAAGTTATCCAATAATAAGATGCTAGCTTCATAGTGAGTACGTAGTGAGTTAGTTGTTTATTTTCATAATGATAAAGTTAGATGTTTTCTTACCCCTGATGTGAGCCGCTGCTCGTCACACTGTCCTCGTCCTCCTGCGGTGTCGGCAACGCGCGTTCACGTGTTTTGGGGGGCGTGGGAGTTTCTCTGCTGGAGACTTTCAAAATCCAGCATTTTCTGTCTGGTTTCTCAAATTTACCTACCCTGCCTTTAAATATGTGAGGGTTTATTAGGCAGGGAGGGTCTCAAAGCTGTTGTCAAGTTGCATTGTGGGACATGTAGGACCCAGTGGAAAAGTAGTACTGAACTACCCGTTTAGGTATACTTTAAGGTTTGTCTACAGTACGTGATTCCCAACTTTTGTAAATTGGTTTATACAGTTTGCCTGTATTTAGAAATACAACAGGCATGAAGTGATAAAATGAAGTTTTGTAACATAATGGCTTGCTCTAACCATGCACACTTAACCCTGTCTTCACGAAAATCTTTGTTTTTTCATTTTTGTTAATATATTTCACTTTAGTTTGTTGTTTTACCAACAATTTTTATGGAGGTCAGTTTGTCTATGTGAACAATTGGCGTCGAATAATAACATAAACAGATGGATCAGATCATACAAAACATACAAATTCAGAGAAGTGGATCTTGAGGCTTGGGGTTAATGTTTTGCCAAGGTCAAGACTGAACTTTGATGCGTTTGTGTGTTATGTAAAACAGAGTGACGGTGCAGAAAACGGAACTTCCCCTTTACCAGATCACCACTGGTTTCCTGCTAGTTTTAGAAGATAAACGTTTTATAGGCAAATAAAGGTAAGCGGTAGAGAGGATGTTTAAATCAACTTTGAGAAGCAGCAGAAATAAATATTAGGCTACATTTCATTTATGATTTTGTAAGTGTCCGTTTAACGTATTTGAGAACACATCGCATCTCACATCCCCTGTAGGCTATATAATCACTCAGCTATAATAACAGCGTCAGCTGCTTAAGTGAAGACATTTTCATTATAGCATGTTTAATAATGATCTATACAGGAGTGGCATCGTACCTGTCCGAGTCCTCTTCGATCTGTCACAGGAAGCTGTCCTCCATTCAGTCCGCTCCTCCTCCTCCTCTTTCACCCAAATTACACAACAGCTTTCATCTTCACTTAAAGGGAGAGTATCAGACTACAGTGTTGTGTTCAGGCACTGTCGGAAATCATGAATTCATGCGTAAAACCACGTAAAACAAATGCACAGGGGCTCCACATGAGGGCGCCACCATCTTAGGTCTGTAGGCCTATTGTGTATCCACCATTTACATTTTACAGTGTTGATGCTCCAGCAGCTCAAGAGTTAGAGGCCAACACTCACACGTGCACAACCTGCACTATCTGATCCCACTTTCTCAATCTGGCATGACAAAGGTCTAAAAACCTGCAAAGATCTCTACAGGGATGGTACTTTTCGTAGCTTAGCAGATATGTCGATTGAATTTCAGCTTCCACTGTCCCATCTTTTTTGCTATTTCCAAATTAGACACTGCGCAAAATCCTTGTTTCCTACTTTTCCCTCCTCACCCCCAAGTCAACTATGGGATGCTTTTCTCTCTTCTGACCCTGTTCTAATCTGTACACAAAACAAGTATGGCTGCCATTTTGTTGATTTATTGAAACATACAAAATAATGTTTGAAACAATTTTTTTCTTCTATTACTGTGGTTCTCATTGTACTGAAGTGTTTTTTCTCCAATACTGAAAAAAAAAAGAAAAAAGAATTAGATGCCCTAAAAACATTTTTTCTCAATTAGCTTGTTACTCTGAGTGATGTGATCTTCTGCCAAAGTTGAAATAGATTTGATTAATTCACCTGAGGTTTTCTGTATTTTTTGTTTTGACTGTGTTTTTCTTACCGGTTTTGAAGTGGGCGGGGAGCTTTTGACTGTTTTGTCCCCCCAAACTAAAACTTTAAAGCAGCTATAGTAATTATTTTTATAATATTAATGTATTGTGACATTGTGAAAACAATGTGAAAGAAGTCACTTGGCTTTATGGAATTTTATTGTGAGTTTCAGCTCATATTTGTCTGTCTGGCCCACAACTTTAATGTTTTAGTTCTCATTACATCTTTTTCAGCAGCAGCAGTCAGCTGTATTCAGAGAGAAAACCCACTGTACACTATCTGTTCAGCAGCAAACAGCAGACAGAGAAGCTGGTGAATGTAGTGGAGTATTTAGTAGCTAAAGAGACAGATTTATCTCAAGTGTTGGTGAAGAACAAAACAGAGCTAAAAGTAAAGTAAATAATCGACTTACACTCATCAGGTAACACAAAAACCTCTCCAAAAGAATGATACTGTTGCTCCATAACTGCTGGATGTGTAAATAAGCAACCTTTTGCTAACATGTGCTTTATTAACTTAAAAGGTGATGATATGTCAGTATATAGTGGCTAAAATCAGTTAATGCATAATTTAATTGTTGCCTATTTAATCATAAATAATCAATGTTACGGGGAAATACTTCAGATATGAAACAAGGTTTTCTCAATATGTGGGTTAAAACTCTTTGATGGGTACAGGTATCTGAGCATTTGTCAGTTTCATACTTTTTGTGACTTTGCTTTTTATATTGTTATATTTGACCTGTATTGTGCAACAGTTGACGCTGTATTTTTATTTTGTTTTACTTTTCTTGTGTATGTAATTACGTGCATTTACCTCATTGGGGGGTCACAGAGGAAAAACATGTGTTTTAGCTCTGGTTTGGTCTCCACTAAGTTCTATTTGAGAGATATTTGGCTCTTTTTAAGCCAGTTTAGCTAAAACGCTTTGGATGTACAACTTTTATCATTTTAACCATGAAAAAAATGATGTACAATGGGCCTCAGCATCTTGGGATTATCCTTGGGTGGAATCAGAGGATGTGCTGAATTAGTCATACACATCCTCTGTAAACGCCCCCTGATCACGCTGGGTTCTATTAAAGGCCACAAAACTCTGCAAACCAATTAGATTTGTCTCAGTTTGGGACTAAAAATATCCTTTTCTGGTATTTCTTTCATGGTTCAGGAAGCGGCTGTCAGACGGTCAGCTGGGTGATGCAACTGCCCAGGAACGCTGAGAAACCGCAGGAATACTTCACATTCCTGCTGGGAGTAGGTCAGTGCACACACACACACACACACACACACACAGATAAATCCTCGTTATGAAACTAATTCCTAGTTTTCCTGACTTAAAATCAGAGCTGTGCTTTAAAACGTTTTGCTTTTATTCATGATTCAGTGAAAGCTGATCTGAAACTGGATCACCTGATTTTTCTCAGAAACCTGCAGTTGTGACATTTAATGACCTTAATCTTTGGCCAAATATTTAATGATAATTTAGTTTCCTTAAGGTGTCTGAACTTTCTGCAACTAGTAAAATTAAAAACACTTTCTTTTGTCATTACAATGACATTAAAGGACTCATAGGACAAGTTAGTTCTCTAAACAGTTAAAGCATATCTATATTTGTGTAGCTCCAACATTCACATTTTTATTCAGTCATACATTCAACACTTGTGCACACAAGAAAGAGTATATTTTAAAAAAAAATCAAAAGTAATTGCGAGACTGTAACTGTTGAAAATAAAAATAATTTTGCTGATTATGTTTGTTTTGTTCGATATATCGGCAAAACACCCTCACTGTAAAGTCGAAGTACACAATGTTAATGATGTGATGATTACTGAAGATATATTTAAAGACATTTCTCTCCAAAAAGTAAATAAAATAAACAACAGGAAGACTAATCAGAAGTAACTTTTATTCCAACCAATCAGCTGTCAAAACCAGTCAGCAGAAACATCTCTTTACTCTTTACTTTCTCTGACGAAAGCACTGATGCATAAACAAATGCCAAAACATGACAAACAACCATAACCTGGAGTGGGATTATCATTAAACCCTGCAGGTGATTAAATCACCACGTTACAACCTTTCATGTATATAAAAAAACACCATCACTGCTGATTTAAACAGTAAAATATAACTTGGGCTGCCTTCACTTTTCACTGTAATTCAGTAATTAGTGTTGTCGGATGTATCCCACAATGCAATAGAAAAGCACTTCAAAGCACTAAATACCGTCTGTGCATTCACTCACTTAGTGTCACTACTGTGTACTGACAGATAGTATTTAACTGGGAATTCCTTTTTGTGAATTGTGAATGATGAAAAGCATCAAACCTTTTAATTTAAAACATGTTTTTCATACTGACGTACTGCCAGTTTGTGCTCTTTAAAAAAAAAACGTTGGCACATTATAACAAATCCTTCATTCACAGACTTTTAGAAATCTTCATCTTATCATCACGATTAATATCTCATCTTGTTGTGTTCATTTCAAACATGTATTATTTCAGTATTGACAGAGCTGTGGGCTAACCTAACATTTTCCCTTCACTTCCAGTTTTTGTGCTAAGCTAAAGGCTAAATGGACTCCTCCCTACGTTCACAGGGTGCTATGTCAAAGGTTTCAATGAGTTTAACATAGGCTGTAAGCTGTAGTTGGGTAATTTCAACATACTGACCCAGGAAATCATACCTTGAACCTTTGCTAAAAACACAACACCCTTTCAAATATCTCCTTAATGTGTCATATTAGGAGGATATTGAACTGGGAACATAGAGACGCTCCTGGCTAAACACATACTGGAGATACACAAAGATAGAAACTACTTTCACTATTCAATTTGATATTGCTATATTCTTCAGTATCATTTTGTCTATCACAGATAACACTTGTATCAACAGTATTGTTGTCTATATGCTACATATTTGCCTAATCACGTCAAATATTATCCTGGTTTCTAAACAAAAGCATTTTGCTACAGTAACAACAATTAATTAAAAAAGTAACTGAAGGATAAAACAAATATTAGCTGATTTAATGTAACTTGATCCTACTGACTGATTTTATTTCTGTTTCTATTCTGTTCTGGCTAACTTATTTTTAGGGGTTTTAGCACATTGCAAAACTTTGCAGCCAGAAAACTTTTCCTTTTGGTTGACACATGTTTGTTAATTGTTAGCAAAATACAAAACTAATATAACGTAAAGCAAACATAAAGCATACAGCGGCAGAGACCCATATTCATGAAAGAGGTTACATGCAAAATGCATATGCAGTTTGACTGAACTGGGTTGAAAGGAGTTGAAATCTACTGTAGAGAAAACACAAAACAATCCAGCAGAGTCCTATTAATTACTAATTAGTTATCCTTTTCCAGCCTTCTATCTGTCCAGTTCTCTGAGGTTTTGTTAACAAGTATATCTGCACAGATTTTACACCTCATGTTAGAATTAATAGAATTAATTCATTTTCATACATATTTAGCTAAGTCTTCCAAGATAAGTTGATTTGTACTAAAAATATGTTGACATATTCACTACACTAGCACATCATTTCACTTGTTCTAATAATAAAATTAAAGAGTAATAAAAGAGTTTTTTTTCTATACTATGACCGTATGAAACACAACTTTAAAACATTAAAACAAGTTTTCTTGACTCTTTTGGGTTTTTAATTACAATTTAATTCCATGATCCCGACTGTTGTTAAGTTATGTAAATTAGAATTTAAATTGAAGAGAGCTCCAAATACATTATACAGAATTGATGATAAGGAGAACATTTAAGTGACTCAGCACTTCCCAAAAATAGAGAAAGTCTTAGTTACGATGTGCAGGACAAAATAAATCCTGAGGAGAAAGTGAAAGAAAATCTGTCTCCGTGCTCAGGAAAACTGAGACTGAGTGTACTGCCTCTGCTGATAAGGACTGTGTGATGTGATTGAAAACACTTGGACCAACTAGTAAGTGGAACTTGAGTTGAAATGTTTTTGTCACATTTATTTGTCAGTGTCTTTGTCCATTTATTATTTTTTTTAAATGTATGTTTACTTATATATTTATTTCTCCTTTAACATGACTTATATGTCTTATTTATTCATTTGTTGCCTAAACTGTCAGGTACGGTCCTCCCGTGCTGTAAGTTGCTGTTTGTGTCTGAACCATCTGGCTCCAGTCACTGTCAGGACTAAGTGCTAATAAATCAACTAAATGTATCTTTAAGTATTTTAAACACATTTGTATCAACTAAATATTTCCTTAAGTACTTGAAACACCAGTAGACTTAAGTGAACAAGTCTCTGAGTGCTTCAGTGTCAGATAGATGTCTTAAGTATTTTAAACATCAATATATCAGCTGGAACTTATTTCTTTGTAGGTCTTTTGAATACTAAATATCAACTAAACACTTAAAGCTCTACTTAATCTGTGTTATTTATCCGGTAATTATTTGTTTTCTTTCATATAAAACTATCTAATTATCGGCCAATGTTAGATTTCTTTTGTATATTTTTTTGTCTTGTCTGACATTTATTGTTCAATATTGCTTCACTGCCTCTTAAGCACCTTGTCATTCATGTTTTCGAGCAGTGCTAAAGCTTCTTAATACTGAACAAGATACCTTGTTGAATACTATATTGTGTGTGAGCGTCTCAGTGCTGACAGGGTGTGTCCAGGTTTTGCCCGCACTTCCAGCAACAGTAATGATGATGATGCCATGTCCGTCCATCTTTTGCCTTGTGAAAAGACTTGCAGAAGATCAACTAAGGAAGCAGAACAGGATGTGGGGCAAAGAGGAGGTAAGAGAAGAGATAATTAAATAAACAGTGAAAAACAATCACTTCACAGTCATTTAACTGATAATATTTGTAGGACTCAGGTATAATACAGTACGCTGTCGGTTAGCATTATGGCATGTAAACCCTATTTTCACTCTATACTAAGAGTCTAAACCTACGCTGTGAGGCTGAACTTAAGCACAGTGGAGCTTTGAGCTAAATGTTAACATGTTGATGTTTAGAAGCTATTATGGTTACCATGTACACCATGTTAGTTTAGCTTGTTTGCATGCTAATATTTGCTAATTAGCAGTAAACACTACATACAGCTGAGGCTGATGGGACTGTCATTAGTTTTACAGGTATTTAGTCATAAACTAAAGTGATTAGGATTCATCCTCTGGGGAACAATGTCTCTGCAAACACATCACTACCTCTGTGTGATATTAATCATGTCTGCAGAAAGTCTACTATGACTCACCTCATCACAGCCTGAGCATCGTGGCCAGACCGTCTGACAGTAGTGTCTTCCACAGAGCAGCTTCTGATTGGACCAGAAGTAGACAAGGTCCACCAATTCCTGGCCACACTCTGAGCATACGAAACAGGTGGGATGCCACAGGGCGCTATGGTAGCCTGCACGTTCAGCATAAACAGCTGGAACATCCTTTGCAACTTCCCCTTTACAACCAGTACACCGCTACAAGACAGAG